CTTTTAGGAATACAGTTTAGATAATGATTTTTATTTACTGAATTACCCGTACCTTACCATATATGTTATTTCATATAGTCTATATTAGTAAATAGTATGTTCGTATATGTCCCACTTGAGTCCCCGTTATCCCAAATTCCTTTTACCCTATATTTTCATTGCGTATTTTACCAATAACAGTTTAGATAATGGTTTTTATTTTCTGAATTACCCGTTTTCTTCCCATACACGTTATTTCATATCCCAATATATAAGATAAACTTATATTGTTCGCTTCAATGATTAAAAATTAATTTAGATTTTAATAATATATATAAAATTAACATATAGTTATATTTTTTCCTTCTAAAAAAATTGCAGATAACCTGTAAACCCGACGTTTGAGCAATAAATTATATAATCAGTAAAAGTATGAAATTAAATTTCTTTATCCATTAAATTATCAGTAAAATTTCAAATTAGATTTATTTATCCAAATTAAATTTTTTTTTGTTTTTAACTATTCTTAATGATAAGTAATTTTAACCATGAATAGTTTTTTTTTGATAATTATGTTATTTATATTAGTAATTTTTAAGATTATAATATTTTATATTAGATATATATATATATATTGCTTTTTGTTTTATTAGAAAGCCTTTAAATAAGCCACAAAACCAACGTTGACCCGGAAAAATATATAATTATCAGAAATAGCTTTAAAATTGAAATTATTGGTATCCAAATTATATAATCTGTTTCGTTATCCAAAGTTCTCGTTATGTATTTTATTTGAAATAGTTTGGATACTGTTTTTATTTTTATTTTTTTAAATGAATTTTTTCCAGAGCTCTTTATGTTATTTCATGTCCTTGTATTTAGAACAAATAGGACTATAGAAATTTCATCTAATACATTTTTAAAAAACTTTATTCTACTTCAAAAACTTTTTGTATTTCACATATAAAAATTATAATAATGTGAATCTTCTTTTCATATAAAATAATTTAAAATACAATCAATGATTAAAATATGAAATATGAAATAAGATTGCTCTATAATTTAGAATAAGAATTAAAAGTGGTTGGATTCCATTTGAGAAGATTGCTCCATAATTTAGAATTTTACATTAGTTATTTTTGGAATTTGAAATAAGATAATAAGTATGTATTAAACTTGAAAATTTTATGAGCTATATTTCGTAATATTTAATGAGGATTTTCATACCTATATTTTCGTAATAATAAATATTTTCTTAATTTGAAGATCTTTTTAACTATTTTTTAGGATACTTGATTTTAGGGATCACTGCTTTTTTTTAAAAAGAAATATATTAGTTTAAATTAGGTTAAATATAGTAGGAAAATCTAAAATATGTTTACAAATACACTATTCGAATTTAATATGCCACATTTTATGGTAACAAATTTATTATGATTTCCAAAAATATTAGTCAGTTATTAGTTTTGATTTTTTATTATGTTTCCTAAAATTTTGGATTTTTTTTAAATTACCTTAACTATCCTTATTCTTGTTTATTGTTAAATGCATATGCTCTACACCTTTTAATTGTATACTATATGCTTACTTTATTCAAATTGTTTTCCTTTTAATAGTATAGATAAATATCATTTTATTTTAAACGTTTCAAAAATTAAAATACTATAAGATTTTGAAATATATTAGTTTAAATTAGGTGAAATATATTAGGAAAATCTAAAATATGTTTACAAATACACTATTTCGAATTTAATATGCCACATTTGATGGTAAAAAAATTATTTTGATTTCCAAAAATATTAGTCAGTTATTAGTTTTGATTTTTGATTTATTTTAAAATATATTTTTTCCTTTCAAAATCTGTCATTAATTTTGTTTGGTTATAGGTTTAGAATTACATAAAATGTAATTTTTCTTTTAAATTCTGTTTGGCTACACTTATAAAAAATGCTTCCCTTTTAATAGTATAGATTTGAGTATTGAAAGATAATAATTAAAGAAAATATAATTATAATATTTTTTGAAAATCAATTAAAAATATAATAAAATATCACAATATGAATAAAAAATCAACGAAACAAAATTATAAACCTCCCGCGCGGAGCGCTGGTCAACTTCTAGTTAATACTAGGATTTATCCCGTGGTACACCACGGGTCCATAATTTAATATATTTGCTTGATTTATTATTTTTATAGTTGGTTTATATACTATAGTTTTATACGTTTTTATATTATTTTAATTTTATATAATTTTATGAATTTGTATAATAAGTAGACTCATAGATATATGTGGTCAGTCCGCGATACACTTCACAAAAAAAAAAAAAAAATTTGCACAGGATGATTTGTTGTAAATAAAAATTTATATTTTAACTTAACCCGTAAAACTTTTTTAATATACACAACCCGTAAGAAACATATAATCATATTTATATAAACTCAAAACCGTTCATTCATATTTATTTATAATATTAATATATTTGAAATATTTTGAGTTAAAATATTAATAATATTTTAAATTTTTGTCGAGTTTAAATATTTTTTATATTTTAAATATTCTATAAAACTTTAAAATTTTAATTTGGATAATTGAGAATTCAAAGTTCATGTTCATTTGAAGTTGTGAAAATATTAGTACTATTTATAATGGCTTTGAGCTATCTAATGTTTTTACCTTATAGACGTTGTACATATATTTTTTCCTTTATCGTTTGAGTTATATACGCCCGTTTTCAAAATTTTAAATTGCAAAATGTGGGGAAATTTTTTGTATTTTTATTATAAGTATATTTTATGTAATAATATAAATTAAAAACAAATAAGATTACATAAATATATTGGGGAGATATTTGATTTATTAGAGAGAGACATTTTAGGAAATCTTTTTGTTGTAATAAATATTTGTTTCCAATTTTACAATTTGCTTGTGATTTAATTACAAAAATTTACTTTTAAGTTTTGTTATTTATTCAATTGGCAAGGGTTTGATTATGCAAATATTATAAAATAAAAGGTTATAAACCTAAATAGATTTTAGTACCAAATGTACTTCAAAAATGTATATATAGATATATAATGTGGATTTTCAAAGTGGAAAATGCGTTGTTAACTCGAATTCTAGTGACTTTAAGGTAAATGGTGCTTTTACCAAAAATAAAACTTTAAAAGAAAAGGGAAACAAAATGAATCTTTCCAGGGACTTTTAGGAAAGACAAGCTTTTTTTATAAATGCCCTACAAAATCTGTTCAAAGACTAATCACTCCACTCATGTAAATTTAATACTGTATAGAAAAATATTAATTTATATTGACTATTAAGAACCATTAACATTGCTTAATTCTTCTTCTTTTATTGTGTCGGTTCGCTCATCTTTATATATTCTTTGCCCATATGTTTAATACAATAGTTTTTGTTTTATAAGATTTTTCTCTTTTGTTAATATATCTAAATATTCTCTAGTATTTTGCAAAAGTAATCCTCAATGAAAATACACAGTGGTAATGTCTCGACAAAATTTTGTGTTGTTTTCATATTTTGTTGTGACATAAAATATAGTGGAAAATTAAATATTGCAGAGAACATCAGTAGCAAATCATCATGAATTCTTTGAATTCACCTAACCTATAATCACAAACCTTATAAAAATTCAAATAGTTCAAAGTACATTTGAAGACAACGTAACTCCCTAAGAGTTCAATTAAATATCAGTTAGAAAAAAAAAAACTTAAAACGTTTTAGTTCTTGTGCTAATTAGACCCATTAAACAAGTTTACGTTTATTTTTTTTGGGGTTTAAAACATGTTTTTAAGTTTGAGCCCTAGTAAAAAGGAAGATCCTCAAAAAATGGAGGAACCAAAGAACAAGCCCTTGGCCTCTTGGGTTGAATCTTATCTAATTCCCAAAAATTGAAAACTTCTTTTGTGACATTTCTTGATGTTTTGATATTAACTAGGACAAAACACAAAGAAGTTTCGGTTTTGTGTGTTTCTCAAAGTTAGAACATAATTAAGAAACGTGTAGATCAAGCAAGTGATATTGTTATGAGCCACAAAGTCTCCAAGAAGTTAGACGAGGAGCAAATCAATGAACTCCGGGAGATTTTCCGGTCATTTGATCGGAACAAAGACGGAAGCTTAACCCAACTCGAGCTCGGATCACTTCTCCGAGCACTCGGGATTAAACCTAGTCCAGACCAATTCGAAACGCTTATAGACAAAGCCGACACTAAAAGCAACGGACTCGTCGAGTTCCCGGAGTTCATGGCTTTGGTCTCCCCGGAGCTTCTTTCGTCGACGAAGAGGACGACTCCTTACACGGAGGAGCAGCTTCTCCGATTGTTTAGGATATTTGACACGGACGGCAACGGTTTCATCACTGCGGCGGAGTTAGCTCACTCTATGGCCAAGCTTGGCCACGCCTTGACGGTGGCGGAATTGACGGGGATGATTAAGGAGGCGGATAGCGACGGAGATGGCCGGATTAATTTCCAAGAGTTTGCTAAGGCTATCAACTCTGCTGCATTTGATGATTTATGGGGCTGAGTTAGCTTTTTTCAGTGGACTCTTCCATTATTAAAACTTTATTTTTTCTAGTTTCTATGATTAGTACTTCTCATGCATTAATCTACAAGAAACTTATATGCTTAGATTCAAAATAATTACTCAAGTATTGACAACAAATGGTTTCTGAAATAGACATGCCTCGTAGTGATTTGAGTAAAACAATTTTGTTTCTTTTGTTATTATTGATCTTTGTATAATCATTGCTAAGATATTGAAAATGTAAATAATCTTGGATTCTTGGTCATCTCAATTCAAGCTCTTGCACACGTCTATCAACCTGGTTTGGTACAAGAATCTAAATGCGTCTATATCACCTTAGGAAACATTTCCATTGTAAAAGGTTACCAAATTTCACCATACAACAAAGGTTAAAAATGTTTTACAAAAACCTAGTAATGGCTAGTTGGTGCTTGTTGATGCAAATGAATATACTATACTAGTAAATGAGACTGATGTATAGTAATTATAACCTCAGTGTATATGAAACTTTATTTAAGCGTTAGAAAGGAAAAAAAAGACATTGTCATGTTTTCTACATACTTGCTTCTGATTCTATCCACAATCAACATCAGTGTCTGGAGCTAAAAGTTAAAGATAAGAAAGACACAACTATGTCAAGAAAGATTAGAAACTTTAATGGCTTTTCTCTTGCTGCCTCGTCTTTCATCTCCGTGCCATCCACTGCAAAATGTCTTCCCTGATTACACCGTCAAACCTGCCACCTCTACCATAGCTCGGTTGAATCAGATTTGCGGCTAGACCACCACTGTAATGTCTGTACTGAGTTGAAGTTCCATTGGGTTTAGGCGGTTGGATCATCATAGAGACAGACGGGAACGGCTTGTTGCGGAAGTGTTTCAGTGAGGAGAACAAGTTCCTATCGGATCCACGGTTTTGAGGAGTCTGCGTCGTGTTTGTGTGCGATCTGGGACGGGAAGATTCCGCTAGTCTTTTTGCCTTGTCCAAGTTGGTATTATGCGGTAGTTCTGGCCGAGTACGGATCTGTGCTGCTGGCTTCATCCGGTCGAGCCAACGAAGAATCCAGTTCCCAAGATTCCTACCAACTTCTATATCTCTCTCTTGTATATTCTTGTGAACCGAGACTGCCACATCGAAGATTTTACGAGTCCTCCTGAACCAAACAAGACAACAATACAGTCAATGCATAACCCTAACCAAAAGAAGCTAAGCTTCTAGATTCAACCTGATGATACCGTAACGACCACATTCATAAACTTGTCCAAACCATATGCAAGTGATAAAGATTCAAAGACCTCAATTATACCAATCTCTTGGAAACAAAGGCGAATCCAACGATTCAATTGCATACCATCAAAATCAAATCGAGAATTACTTCAATTGCAAAAGATCAAACAAAACAACAACAACAACAAAGAGAGCAAGAAACGACTTGATTTCACAATTTTGAAACCATAATATATTTTCGAATCAGCAATTTCAAAAACAGAACAGTACAATTTTTTTATCACATTCTAAAAACAAACCCTAATTTCCCCCAAATTGAGATTCCGTAATACATCAGAAACCAATCGAAAAAAAAAAATCTGACCGATGAAGAAACTGACGGATTTTGGGATGTTTGGGAGTAACAATACGACGCTGGATCTTCAAGGCGAGTCTATAAGTACGTCTCAGACCCAAGAAGTAGGCTGTTCCTAGAGTTATCTCCCAGAGAACCATCTTCCTTCTTCTTCTTCTTCGGCTTCACGATTTATCTGATGATCGCCATTTCGGTAGTCTCACTGATCTTTCCTCGGCTGGTTTATCTCGGTGTTGGAATCCTCCTTGTTTTTACTTTGTTCGAGTTTTAAGTTATTTTGGGCCTTTATATGGCCCAATGGATGACAAAAATATATATGTGGCCCAATCTTTTAAAAACCTCTATATTAATTAAAAGAAATCATGTTGACAAATCAGAGAAGAGATGTATTTTGTTTTAGTTTGTTAAAAAAAAGAATTATTTTGTTATTTCCTAAATAAATATAATAATTAAAATCAAATTGTAATTGAATTTGTTTTTCTACCAACCATATCTTGATTAAAAAATTACTCCCTGGGTAATAGGGGGAATGGTGTTTATAAAATTAACTTTTGAAGCTAACGAGCGATCTAAAATAAGCAGATAAGAAAATCCGCGTTTGAGTTACAATAACGAGAAATCTGACAACTCGTTTAAGAGGTTGGAGAAAGCTGACAAACAAATCAGTGGCAAGTGAAATAAATAAACTAAATTTTAAACATTTTCTAGAACGTATTCCTCTTTCCAAATTATTGTTGTATTGTAATCTTTTCATTGAACAACCATTTACAAAGATAAGTTCTTTTTAAAAAATATGGCCCAGTAACGGCCCAATACGACTTTAGATAGCCCTGGGCAGAAAACCCGGTACCGAAGAATCGCACCGGTTGGCACCCGGTTAAGGCGGTATCGGTTCGGGTACGGTTCCAACGGAATTACCAAATGGGTTTTGATGGCAAAGTAAAATGGACTTCGGTCCGGTTCGGGTTTTACCTTAAGTTAATATGGACCACCGATTATACTCGATCCTCTAAGCAAACAAATATATGCCATTTAGGGTTATGATACCCTAACACCAAGAGTTCTTTACTTTGACATACCAAAATGATGTTTTTTCATTGTTCTCATTTTTTTATCTGCTACTTGAGTTATTAAGCTCATGAACTTGATCAATCTTTTGTTATGTTTTCATGAGTTGTTAAAATATGTTAAACGTATGGTTAAATTTAAGTTCTTAAGTTGTAGTTTTGGTTAAAGTTATGCTACTTATCGGTTATTAAGTTCTTGTTTTGGTTATTTAATCGGTTATTTTTGGTTAATTAGTTGGTTATTTCTATTTTTAATCGGTTATATCAGGTTTAAATTGGTTATATCAGGTTTGAATCGACTATTTGAGTACTTTGGTTACTGAAAATAACCGAACCGATTATAACCCGAAAAAGGTTTGGTACACTTCGGATTTTGAATTGGAGTAGAGAACCGACCCGAACTCGGCCAGTTACTAACCGTTCCGAACCGAATTAATTGTTAAATACCAAATGGTATCTATATGTCTAATACCGATTTACCCAAAACCTGGTTAGATAGAACCGAACACCGATTGGGTACCCGATTGCCCAGGGCTAATTAGTCTTTAGACTTGTGTGACGTAAACGCATGTCTTTTTCTTTTGACTCCGTCAACGTGTCTTTGACGACAATATAGATAAAGTCAAAGCAAAAACAAAACTTTAACTGTTGTCATCTCCGTCTCCGAAGTATTATCTCTTCGAAGCAATTTCGGATTTTGTGTGTGTGTTTTGGTTTATCTTCAAACATAAACTCAGAAATCGAGAACACTGCCATCGAAATCTCTCTCCTTTTAGCCCTTCCATTATCAAAAAGATGAGCTTTCAGGATTTAGAAGCAGGGAAGGCCGCAACAAAGGGATTTGAATCAAATCATTTGATCAACGGCAAGAGAGAGAGATGGAACACAAGCGGTGGCTTCCGGTATCTTTCCTTCTTTTCAACGGCTTGTTAATACCCTCGGCACACCTAAAGATACGCCGGAGCTTGTCACAAGCTGTGAGTTTCTTTCGTGATTTGGAAGAATCATGCATTTGATCTGATCCCCAAGTGTAATTTAGGTTAAATCATGCCTAAGTCATTTTAGGGTTTTATGAGATGAGTCTTGTGTTTTCATGTTTGGATGCTTTTTGGTCTAAAGTTTTAATCTTTATGTGTTGTATGTGTTGTTCTGTGTATGTTGTTGGCTTAGTTCACTGTTGATTTAATCAGGCACAAGACAAGATTAGAAATTATGAACTTGGTTAAGACACTTCGGCAAAACTTAATTCTAAAACGTATTCCTCTTTTAGTATATAAGATATAAGATAAAGTCTTAAGATTGTATTTGGTTAGTCGAATATGGAAAACAAAAGGTAAGAACTAAAAATGTAAAATCTTCTTAATTTACTTATACAATAAGGAACAAAAAAGGAAGAAAAAAAACAACCATAGACGTTTATATAAATAAGAAAACCTAGTTTCTCTGTTGTTACTTGACTCACAAGTCTTTCCTCTCAAGAAATACACACAGACACAGACATGATTCTTCTTCTATTACTCATTCTAGTTTTGTTTCTGACGGTACTTACTTGTGTGATGGGTTTCCTAATATTACTGCTCCTTGCTATCCTGTGCTTCGCATCACTGATCGTTTGGATCATCATATCACTGATCGTTTCGACCATCCTAAGATCCAACACCTTCGTGATAGAATTCCAAAACCGTCAAGGACAACCGACTCAATTCAACCTCTGCCTCGACAACAACAATCTCTCTTTGAATCTCTCTGTCCGAAAAACTAATACTTGTACTGAAATTTACTATGCTTATGCGTTTCGTGGCCTGGCCGATGTAAACTACTTGTCATCTCATGGTTACTATAGTTTCCCCCGAAGTATTTAACTTTTGAGAATTTCTTTACATTCGTTTTCTAATTGTGATTTGTATGTTAAAACGTTCTCTTTTTTTTTTTTTTTTTTTTTTTTTTTGTCGTCAAGTTAAAACGTTCTCTTTGATTTTGTTGTATTGTAATCTTTTTCATTGAACAAAGATAAGTTTTTTTTTTAATATGGCCGAATAACGGCCCAATACGACTTTAGACTTGTCTGACGTAAACGCATGTCTTCTTCCACGTGTCGTCGAGTCTATGACGACAATAGATAAAGTCAAAGCAAAACAAAACTTCAAATGTTGTCGTCTCCATCTCCGAAGTATCTCTCTTCGAAGCAATTTCGAATTTTGTGTGTGTTTTGAATTAACAAAAAGATGAGCTTTCAGGATTTGGAAGCAGGGAAGCCATTGAAACCACCGCAACAGAGGGATTTGATCAACGGCAAGAGAGATGAAACACAAGCGGTGGCTTCCGGTATCTTTCGGATCAAAACGGCGGTTTGTAGTTTTCAGTGGCTTGTTCATAACCTCGGCACGCCTGATGATACGCCGGAGCTTCGTCACAAGCTGTGAGTTTTTTTACGTGATTTGGAAGAATCATACATTTGATCTGATCCTCAAGTGTTATTTAGGTTAAATCATGCCTTAGTTATTTTAGGGTTTTATGAAATGAGTCTTGTGTTTCAATGTTTGGATGCTTTGTGGTCTAAAGTTTTAATCTTTATGTGTTGTATGTGTTGTCCTGTGTGGTGTTATGTTGTCGGCTTAGTTCTCTTTTGATTTAATCAGGCACAAGAAAAGATTAGAAATTGTGAACTTGGTAAAAGACACTTCGGCTAAACTTAAGGAAGCTAGTGAAACCGATCATCGTAGCGATGTTGCTGTAAGTGTTTTTTTTCCTCTCAATGTGAAGATTTATTGTTTTGTTATTAGCTTCTTCTATTGATAGATATGGTATTGGTGCAGCTAAGTAAGAAGATTGAAGATGCTAAACTCGCTAGGGACTTTGACACAGTGTTGAAGGAGTTTCAGAAGACACAGCATATTGCAGCTGAAAGGGAAACTACTTACACTCCTTTCGATCCAAAAAACAACCTTTCTTCAAGGTACATTCATAAGAAGTGGTATTAGTTTTGTTTACTTCAACAGTAGAGATTATTTGATTGGTCTAGTCTCTAGTACTCTCTACCTGTTTTTGATTAGGAACAAGCTGGTTCAAGCACACAAGTTGTTACCTGTAGTTGTTTTCTTGAAGTTATTACTGATGTTTCTGTGTTCCTATTCAGTGAGGTAGACATTGGCTATAATAGATCACAAAAGCAGCGTGTCCTCAAGAAATCTAAAAGGTACATAAGTTTCATCTACTCTGCATATCTCTGTAAATAAAGATTGTGTTCATGTGTGTGAGTTGTTGTAACCTCTCTTTCTTTATCTGAAGGCAAGAAGTTGTATTTCTTGACAACGAAATTTCCTTCAACGAAGCGGTGATAGAGGAAATAGAACAGGGGATACAGGAAGTTCAGCAGCAGATTGGTGAAATAATCGAGGTGTTCAAAGATCTTGCGGTGTTGGTTAACTATCAAGGAACCACGATGGGTAAATTTTTCAAGCAAGAACAAAAAACTAAAGACTTTGATTCCAATTCTCAATCCGATCCTCTTAATATATATTTCTGGCAGATGATATGGGTAGCCATGTGGAGAATGCATATTCAGCAACAGCTCAGGGAAAGTCCCATCTCGTGACAGCGTCCAAGGCACAACGATCAAAGTCATCCTTGGTAAGAAAAGCAGAGAATAATCCTGTTCCATTTGGTTGTTAATCATGTTAACTTCTCCTTTTCTGGTGATTATGCAGATGTGTTTGCTAATGGTGATATTTGGGATCGCTCTTGTCATTGTTATCATATTACTAGTAGCTTGAGATGGCTAGAAGAAATACAATTGTGGTCGTACATTCGAGTAATGTAACAATACAACTTCGTTATTACATTTTTACTTGATTTAGTTCATATGTTCAAACTTGAAATTTTCTAATATGATTTTAGGAAAAATCATAAAATCTTTTCAAATTCCACCTAAAATTATGCATTTTAGACTAAAGAAATCTTATCGAATCTTTCGGTATCATTAAAAATCAAATTCATAAACTGTTTTCAGTAACAACAGATTTTAAGATAGGTTTTTAAATCATTAGTTTAATAACAATGGATTTCATTTGACTTTTAAAAATCTATAATTGAATAACATAGGATTTGTAAATATTACATAAATCGTTAAAAAAAGATACTTCATATATGTATATGTGTGTGTTTCAAGATACTGAGAGAACAAGAGTGTGAGATTAGAAAAAAAAAATGGAGAAGCAAATCTTTTGTGAATTCCTAGTGGTAATGATGTTGTTGTCATCATCCCAAATTAAGGGAGATATGAGCGAAGGATGTAATGATTGGGGCATCTCAGCTCTGATGGGTTGTCCACATTCGATTGCCAAGAAGCTTCCAGCTCCTCGGACACCATCCCAAGGTTGTTGCACTCTTATCCGAATCATTGGGATGAAATGTGTGTGTGAAATTGTCAATAAGATAATCGAAGACACCATTGACATGAAAAAGCTCGTTAACGTGGCCGCAGCTTGTGGCCGTCCCCTTGCTCCTGGTTCACAATGTGGAAGTAAGTCTTTATGACAAAACATATAAAGCCTTTTAGCATAAATAGGTCTTAGGTTTAATTTTTTAACTATGCTAAAGATGCTTCCCAACCCTAAGAGTACTCTCGATATTTATAATTAGTTAATCATAATATCTCGATTTTGTTTATAATTAATCACTTCATTACAGGAGAATTACATTGACATGTAAATATTATTCCTACGACTGATTTAGTTTTAAATATCGGAAAATTAAACCCATTTCTTCATTCATAGATATGTGTAGACATGTAGTCTTTATTATACGTTGCAACTTTTATAATGCTCTTATTGTGTTTCTTCTTATGCAAGGTTACCGAGTTCCTGGTGCATGACATGGGATGAATGCGATTATGCGAGTATACAATAAGCTAGTATCAAGTATCAATTTTTTTTTTTTTTTGATGAAAGTGAAAGAATACAGCATAATGTGATGACTGGTGTTACAATGGAATCAGAAGAGAGTCCAGATTTTAAAAATGCTATTGTTTCGATATGTATATTTTTGTTTTTCTGTCCAAATTCTTCTTCTTAGTGCTTTTGGAAGACGAAATATTTTTTTGGCAAGTCAAATATGTATCTTGTCGTTTTCTAAAAGAGTAAACTATGCGATGTAAATGATTTATTAGCCAAGAGGGCCTCAACAAGCAAGGTCCAGCTGCGTTCACACAAGTTCTCTGACTCTCATTTATCGGCTGCAGCAACTAGATCCGGCCAAAACATGCGGGTTGTGACACGTTACTCTCAAAGCATCCCCAAGCTCGTTTGCACTGACAGGAAGGACGGGGTTCCCATAATTAAGCACCAAGTTCTTAAACAACGTCGTCAGAACCAATCCGGAAACCAAAACTTTAACGAGTTATGTAGGCCGGATTAAACAGAATCCTATTTAAATGTTTACTTGTAAAGCTATGGACCATGAAATGGTTCAAATCTATCTAAATTTTAAATCTGCCAAAGGTTCTTAATCATACGGTTCTTAATCAAACACTCATAACGTTATGAATCTCAAAAATATACTCAAAACACTTACCATTCATTCTCTATTAATAGATATATGGCAACCTGATGTAATTTATGATTTGGAGTATGTGAAGAAACTCTAGTTATAGGTACCTTGTGCAAACGATGCGGTTCATAAGCGTAAGTTAAAAGCCACCAAAATCAGCCTCTAAGAAAAGAAAAGAAAAACAGTCAAAATTATAAGTGACAAGGAGATGAGATAATTTAACAAGATATAAATAAAATGATAGGAAAATATAAGAAAAATAAAAGCAAAATATAAGTAATAAATTAGCAAAATATCTCGTTACAAACAAAGATGTGAAACATAAATTAGCAAAATATAAATAATAAAATGAATTTAGTCATGAACATTCCAAATATATAGAAACACTTGATCAGTAGGAATTGACAAGCACAAACCAATATCTCTTGCTTTTATAGCTGCATGATATGGGATGAATACAATTATGCGAGTCTGCAATAAGCTAGTATCGACTATCAATTTCTTTGTCCACAAAATGATTGCATGCATAAAAAATGCAAGAGTAGTAATATATATATATTTATGATAATGGATCCTATGTTAATATGATTTGTCCATGTTTGCTTAGTCAACATTACTAAAATGTGTTACCATAAACATATGATTCGCAAATCAAAAATATGTTTGATTATATATGTTTGTGGTAAGGTTGAATATATATTGATGATATACTATGTTGAACATGTAAGTAGTATATGAATGAGACTGAGGAAACACTTCTGTTGCAATTTGTTTTTCAAAAGTTTCTTACGAAATGGTATTTTGGCTAAGTTTGATATTTTTCTTTTGCTTTCTCACATTTGCTTCCCCAACTCCACCGGATGATCCGGTCAAGTGTGACTCAGGCAACTCCATGTGCTCTGTGACGAACTCATATGGAGCCTTCCCTGACCGTTCTACATGTGAAGCGGCAAAGGTGGAGTACCCTAAGACTGAGGCTGAGCTAATCTCTATCGTGGCTGCAGCAACTAAGGCCGGCCAAAAGATGCGGGTCGTGACTCGTTACTCCCACAGCATCCCGAAGCTTGCCTGCACTGACGGAAAGGATGGGGTTCTCATAAGCACCAAGTTCTTAAACAACGTTGTCAGAACCAATCGGTACGCCAAAACTTTGACGGTTGAGAGCGGCGTAACACTAAGGCAGCTGATCGAAGAAGCGGCTAAGTTAGAGCTGGCTTTGCCATATGCACCGTATTGGTGGGGACTCACCGTTGGAGGACTAATGGGGACCGGTGCTCATGGAAGCTCGCTGTGGGGTAAAGGAAGTGCGGTTCATGATTACGTGAGCGAGATAAGAATGGTTAGTCCCGGTTTGGCGTCTGATGGCTACGTAAAGGTCAGGGTTCTTAGCGAGACTAAAGACCCTGAGGAGTTCCGTGCGGCCAAAGTTTCTCTAGGCGTTCTTGGTGTTGTCTCTCAAGTAACCTTCGAGTTGCAACCTATGTTCAAGAGATCGTTAACGTACGTTATGCAAAACGATTCGGATTTTGAAGATCAAGCAGTGACGTTTGGGGAAAAGCATGAGTTTGCAGATTTCTTATGGCTACCGAGCCAAGGCAAAGTGGTGTATCGAATGGACGATCGAGTCCCGCTCAACACTTCAGGCAATGGCTTGTTCGAATTTTTCCCATTCCGTTCACAACTCTCGGCAACGTTAGCCATCATCAGATCATTAGGTTAATTCTTTATTTCTCAAGATAACTACTAAACAATACAAATATATATAATTTGCATAGTTATAATATGTTTCTTATACATTTATCTACGTTTATGACATTATAAAGAGGAGAGTGAAGAGTCATCAGGAGATGCAACTAAGACGTGTGTGAGTGCAGAGGGAATAACATCGTTTTTGTTTGCACTCTCATACGGTCTGACTAATAATGGTACAAAAAAATATTTTCTTCACTTACTTATGAATCTGTCTTACTGTTTCCATATATATATAAGGCTTTACAATTCTTCACTTGTAATTTTCACGGGCAGGTACGACATTCACAGGCTATCCGGTAATAGGAAGGCAAAACCGTATGATGTCGTCCGGTACATGTCTTGACAGTCACCAAGACGGACTGAACACATCTTGTCCATGGGATCCACGGGTAAAAGGCGAGTTCTTTCACCAAACAACATTCAGTGTTCCACTCACATTTGTCAAAAGCTTCATCAATGACATCAAAGCACTAGTAAAGATTGAACCAAAAGCTCTCTGCGTCCTTGAGCGCAGCAACGGCATTCTCATCCGGTATGTCACGTACTCTACTGCTTTCCTTGGGAAAGAAGAAAAAGCTTTAGATTTTGACCTAACTTACTACCGAAGCAAAGATGATCCCTTGGCACCGCGTCTATACGAGGATTTCATCGAAGAGATCGAACAAATGGCGATATTCAAGTACAACGCGTTGCCGCACTGGGGGAAGAATAGGAACATAGCGTTCAATGGCGTGATTTACAAGTACAAGAACGCGAACACGTTTTTGAAAGTGAAAGAGAGATTCGATTCTTTAGGGTTGTTTTCGACCGCATGGACTAATCAAATTCTAGGTTTAAAAGGAAACGTGACGATTGTGAAAGAAGGATGTGCATTGGAAGGACTCTGTGTTTGTTCAGATGATGCTCATTGTGCTCCCGACAAAGGTTACTTGTGTCGTCCAGGTAAAGTTTATACAAAGGCTAGAGTTTGTACTCGAGTACATGCCTAAAGATAATTCATCATACGAAAGTTTTAATAAAGTGTAATCCATTTCATCCTTAGGTTAGGCTCTCTTATTTAAATCTTATTGGGCCTATAAAAGTCCAATAAAAGGCCCAATTTTGCAACGACAAAACAACACACCCGAGTCGTCGTCTTCAGTCGCACTCCACACACCTCAGCAATGGCGGAAGCTACTCAATTTCTCTCAAAACCTTCATATCTCCGTGGAACACTAAATCAATACCAATTGAACCAAACCACACGCTCCAGAATCCCAGTTTTGTCTCTTAAATCGACCTCGAAGCCACTCAAACGCTTCTCCGTCAAAGCCGCTGTTTCCCAAAACTCCACCAAAACCCTCACTTCTGCGCCGTCGTCGTCGTCGTCGTTCGATCACTGTTTCAAGAAATCATCAGATGGGTTCCTCTATTGCGAAGGAACTAAGGTTCACGACATTATGGAGTCAGTCGAGAGAAGACCTTTTTACTTATACAGTAAACCTCAGATCACGAGAAACCTAGAGGCGTATAAAGAGGCATTGGAAGGAGTGAGATCTGTCATTGGTTACGCTATCAAAGCTAATAATAATCTCAAGATTTTGGAGCATTTGAGGAGTTTAGGCTGTGGTGCTGTGCTCGTTAGTGGAAATGAGCTCAGACTTGCTCTTCGTGCTGGTTTCGATCCTACAAAGTAAGAATCTTTAACCCATTTGCCCTTGTCTCCGAGTTAGAGAGCTTAGATTCTTTAACCAGTAGGTAGGTGTATGCAACTTGGAATTGAGTTTATCCCAATAATAAAGTGTTTGACTTGTTGATGGAATCAGAAATATGAATCTTATGATTTTGTATAACCCTGATGTGCTTGTTGCTGACTATTTCTTGTTGTATAGGTGCATTTTTAATGGAAATGGGAAGTTGTTGGAAGATTTAGTTCTAGCTGCTCAAGAAGGTGTTTTCGTAAATGTCGATAGTGAGTTTGACTTGAATAACATTGTGGAAGCTTCAAGAATTTCTGGCAAGCAGGTCAATGTACTGCTGCGTATCAATCCTGATGTTGATCCTCAGGTATGGTTAAAATTACCTTTTTTTAGCATCATGTCTTAACGTAATTGGTCTGCTCAGCTTGGATATTAGTGAGTTTTTTTGTTTTGTTACATTGTTCAGGTGCATCCATATGTAGCTACTGGGAACAAGAACTCAAAGTTTGGTATCAGGAACGAGAAGCTTCAATGGTTTCTGGATGAGGTGAAGGCACACCCCAAGGAGCTGAAGCTTGTTGGAGCTCATTGCCATCTAGGCTCTACCATTACAAAGGTAACTCCGATTATAGTTGCTTAAAGCTGTGTTTTGATTTAATCAGATGAATATGGATTGCTCTCTGTTTAATGTTTCCGATGTTCGATTTTGCTCTGTCTCTTAGATATCTGACTCTTGAGCTCTACATATTTGTGTATGCTTTGTTTATTCCAGGTGGATATATTCAGAGATGCTGCAGTTCTCATGGTGGAATACATCGATGAGATCCGGCGTCAAGGTTTTGAAGTCAGTTACTTGAACATTGGTGGTGGTTTAGGGATAGACTATTACCATGCTGGTGCTATCCTACCTACACCTATGGATCTCATCAACACTGTAAGAGCAACATCTCAAAAATGTTTCCTTCATCTGTTCTCAAAAGTATTGTAATTGGTAGAATCTTTATAATCCTTGATGGGTTTCAGGTAAGGGAGCTTGTTCTTTCACGAGACCTGAATTTGATAATCGAGCCAGGGAGGTCGCTAATTGCAAACACGTGCTGTTTCGTCAACCATGTAACTGGTGTGAAAACAAATGGAACTAAAAACTTCATAGTGATTGATGGAAGTATGGCTGAGCTTATCCGTCCCAGTCTTTATGATGCTTATCAGGTAAAAACCGATGTACTTTTCACAACAGCGTATGCAATATGCAGATTTTGGTTCCTTGGAATTATAGCTAATCATCCTCTTGTTCTTGTTTCTTAACGCAAAAGCACATTGAGTTGGTCTCTCCTACACCGCCTGAAGCAGAGGTTACCAAATTCGACGTAGTTGGTCCTGTTTGTGAATCTGCTGACTTCTTGGGCAAAGACAGAGAGCTTCCCACTCCTCCACAGGTATGTTAAGGATCTGATTCTGTTTGGCAGGTCAAGTAATGTGGAATCTAATGAGCTTAATGGATTCATTGCAGGGAGCTGGTCTTGTGGTTCATGACGCTGGTGCATATTGTATGAGCATGGCCTCCACTTACAATCTCAAGATGCGTCCTCCGGAATACTGGGTACAAACACACTTTCTTGTTCTTGTTTTCTGGGGAAATCGAAAAACAATCAAGATCCCGAGAGAAATTGTCACAAATTTAACTTATTTTCTTAAATTTGTGTTGTTTGTTTTCGCAGGTTGAAGAAGATGGGTCGATCACTAAGATAAGGCATGCTGAGACATTCGATGACCATTTGCGTTTCTTTGAAGGTCTATGAACTCTGATATTTATTTACTAAATCAGTATTGCTTTTTAGTTGAATTGTAATGATTATTCAGAATCAGGGCCTTAATGCTATTGCTGTTTTAGATTTTCACATTCTGTGCTAACTGATTCAATGTCCTCCATGAAGTGATCGATCATATGAATAAGAAAAAGTTCACAAGTCAAGAGAGAAAATAAAAGTTGAATTTGTGGGTTATGTTTATTCTTTAGTTACTACTACAAGTCCCAAGTTCTCCATTGTCCAAATACAGAAGACTTGAGAAACTAACGCAATGCCAGAGCTGTTTCAGATACACTCCTTTTGATCAAATGGGCCTCTGTTGGGCTTTAGCCCGAGTTTTTCTTTCGGTTTATTTGGTTAAATTCGGTTTACATGGTAAGTCATCGAATTAAAATGTCGGTTTAAGATTGTTACGGCTCCGTCGTTGATCTCAAATTTCTCAGAACTGGACATTTCCCGATTTGATTTCGCGCTCAGTGATGAACGGCGCATCTCCGGCTCATTCTTTGGTATCGACGACCGCCGTAGCTGGTGGAGGTGGAAGTAGCGGCGCAGCCGCTGGTCTAGACGATTTCCATTTTCCACCGGATATTCCCTCTATGCAAGATCGAAAAGACGAAGCTATGCGTGGTCAGTTCATTACTCTTTTCCCCCATTTTCATGATTTCGGCAAAATTAGGGTTTCATGTAAGAATCGGTGATGAAATTTCTCAGTAATCAGACATTTGAATTGTCACATCTCTATTGTTTTAGGGTTCTTTGATTTTAGTAATTTGTTTCACTTTTGCGAGGAATTGGGAGGTTTTATGTAAGATTGGTGTCAAATCTCCATTGTTTAAGGTTACAAAACTTTGAAAACATGCTAATTTATGTTGTTTTTTTGGGTGATGTTGATATGCTGATTCGACTGTGACTTCTTTAGATGATTAGTATTGCTACTTAGTCAAAAATGGGATATATGAGTAGATCAAGAACCCTTGATGTCAAGTGTTTGTTGTAGAAGGATCATCATCTAATAGATTTGGCTTTTTTTTTTGTTGTTGTCATGGTTTAGTTTTGAAAGCTGATTTGATGGCTGAGCTTGACAAAGAGGTTAAATCTTTGGAAGAAGATAGTTGGATGTTCGAAGGTCCTCGTTCTCGAATCCATCTTATATCTAGAAGAGGTTAGTTTCTTCTTCGTCTTCTTGAATCCGGTTTTCGTAGTAAACTGTTTCATGTCCGACTAATTCTACAACTGTTCAGATCGATCTTGAAATTAATTGAATGTTTAGCTCAAATGGTTCTTGAATACTTAAGTATAAAGCCGTTTGTTTTTCTTTGAATCGTGTGTTAATAGCAGTGATCATCCCATTGATTCAAAAACTTCATCTATTGGCCATTCTCTAGGTCATGACATATCGATATGATGAGACGATTTTATATGAATCTGCGTTTTTCTTGTGTGTGTTTTTCGTGTTTCATTATCGCTAAGACATGCTGCTGTGATTAGGTAACTTTCTAAAGAAAGAAGGTGTAGCTGTGACGAAATCAAGCATCATTCAGCTGCCTAGATGAAGTTCAAGTAAGCAAATTCAGAAATGGTCGTGAAGCTTTGTTGAGGTCGATGGTGTTCGTAACAAATGCCACTACAACGTTGACTCTGTTTTAAAGGGATAACATTAGCTTATTTCAATGGTGTTAATATCTGTGTACAAGTGATAAAATCATTATTTAACAACGCTAAAATACGATTTGAGTACTTATCGATATCAATGTTCTCAAGAAATCTAAATAATCAACTTTCACTTTTTATGTTTATTTTGATGATTATTATCAAGGACAATATTTAAGTTTGATGCTATTGCCTTGAAGCTCAAAGTCTCAAACATTGTTCCTGAGTTTAGTACTTTTTAATTTGTTAATTTCAAGAAAAAAATAGGTTATTTATCATCTTCACAACTAAAAACAAAAGGTTCTTTCTATATGTATGGTTAAATCCCAAAACTTGTTACCTATTTTTATCAGAAGCAAATTGATCACCACCACCTGAAAACCACAAAATGCTTAAGTTTGTTAAAACTGGCTGTGACAAGTGTCATACAAGTGTTCACATTCGCCACGTGTCATATCCTTTTTAATGTAACCTAGGACTTGAACCACACACAAAGTGCAATAACCTAGTTAGATGACACTTGTTAGAGAGCGACGTCACCAAGAACCACTAACACTCTCTATTCCGCCACCACTTTACCACCGCAGCACTGCCTTCTCCATCTCATCTCACTCGTCATTTTCGTCATTATCTAGCCCTGATTCATCTCCGGTTGAAACCTTAAACGACCTGGAAAAACTCGCCGTTGTAGGACACGGTAGCGGAGGAACTGTCTACAAAACTTGTCACCGGAGAACCAAAAAGCTCTATGCTTTGAAAGTCCTCCGGTCAAATCTTACCACCACGACGATGAGAACAACTGCCGTTGAAGCCAACATCCTCAAACGTATCGAATCGAGTTTCGTCGTTAAATGCTATGCGGTTTTTGTTAATGCATCCGATCTCTGTTTCGTGATGGAGCTAATGGAGAAAGGATCTCTCCACGACGCGTTGCTTGCTAAACAAGTTTTCTCCGAGCCAATGATATCGAATCTCGCTTACAGAATCCTCCAAGGGTTACGTTATTTGCAAGATATGAGAATAGTTCACGGAGACATAAAGCCTTCAAATCTCCTTATTAACGAGAAAGGAGATGTGAAGATTGCGGATTTTGGTGCGAGCAGGATTGTAGCAGGAGGAGACTATGGATCGAATGGGACATGTGCTTATATGAGTCCTGAACGTGTGGATCCAGAGAAATGGGGTTTTGGTGAAGTTGGATTTGCAGGAGATGTTTGGTCATTAGGAGTTGTGGTTCTTGAGTGTTACCTTGGAAGATATCCATTGACCCAAGCTGGTGATAAACCGGATTGGGCGGCTTTGGTTTGTGCGATTTGTTGCAGTGAGAAAGTGGAGATTCCGGCGAGTGGTTCGCCGGAATTTAAAAACTTTGTTGGGAGATGTTTGGAGAAGGATTGGAGGAAGAGAGGCGATGTGGAAGAGCTTCTTCATCATCCTTTTGTGAAAAACAGATAGCAGTAGTAGTCTTGACTTTGGTTTCAGGATTGAGAAAAACAAATCCAAAGTAAGAACCGGAGTTTTATTCAAACTTGGTTCTGTTCGAGTCAAGTTTTGAATTTTTTCAGAAAAATAAGAACGAATCAAATTTTAATTGGACTCATAAATTAAACAATCAACCTTTTATTAAAAAAAATTAAAACCCGAAATTTCTTTTTATTTGAAATAGTTAGGTTTAGTTTACACCAAAGTTCACTCAGCTTAGTATATATATTTTTTTTCATTACTGTAATGATGGCAAAACCAAAAAGACAACAAATAGGCGAAAAATTTAACAAGAGGTTGAAACAAGACACAGATCCTTGTATTGATTGGAAAGCAGTAATGTTATACAAGTTTGGAAAAAAGAAAAACGAAAAATGATCGGTGCATGAAATGAATAAGCTGCTCTCAGACTGTGTTTACCACTTCAAAAGACTTTTAAAACTCCCAAAATCATGGATTTTGCCTGAGTGAAGTAAGCATATAATAAATAACTAAGCAAATATTTTAAGGTCATTAGAGTTTGTTTGATAGATTACTACTAAAAGTTACTCTTAAATTACCTTGAGGGGTCTATGGTTTCAGGCGAGAGGAGACCCATCTGTTGAGTCAGATTATCCATATGTTCAGTTTTGTCCCATCCATTTTGTTTCTGCTCTGTCTCATTGTCCACTGGTGTAAAATCCATATTGTCTGAGACCGTGCTTGACAATAAGTCTTCCAATAAAGTGTAGTCAACAGGTTCTATATCAGGATCCATTGAAAAGTCGTCGATGTCAAAGTTCAAATCATCGATAGACAGATCTGGGTCAAAGAAAGGACTAGAATCTCCCATGTTTGGTTCCATTAAATCCTCTGGAAGCTTCTCTGCGTTAATTTCCGGTAACATATGAGTGAATTCGGGAAGAATTAGACCATCAGGTGAAGGTATACAGTTCTCTGTTGCTTCTGGTGATGCTGAAACATTTATAGGAGTTGTTCCCATTGGTGATGGTGTCTGTATCTCAGAAGCTGTTGGCATTTCCTGAAGAGTTATACCCGATGTGTGGTTCAATGAAGTCTCCATCTCTGTTCCCTCGGTAGTAGAAGTACCATTACCTAGAAGGAAACCATCATCGCCAGTTTTGTAAGGTTCCATCTTCATAAGCTGTTTAAACATTGCTTTCGCTTGCTCATGCATTGGAGGTTGATACTTCACTATCTGTCCATCAGGAGAAGCAGAAGCATTATTACCGACAATGCCATCTCGCTTGAATCTCCGCTTCTTATTTGTATCACTGATGCGCCTACTACTCTCGTTTTGCTGATTCTGCTGTTGTAAGAATTGAGATAGAAAATGAGGGCTTTGTACTGCCTTTGCAAGGAACGACATTAATTGTTGTTGCCGATTCTCCATGCCCTGGAGACGCTGAACCATCGTTTGAAGTTGGTTATCAGTGGACTGTTGTTGCTGTCTTAATCTGACGAGTTCTTGCATAAGGACATTCTTATCTCTTTTAAGCCTCTCTACTTCTTCTTCGAGACCAAATTTGCCAACTTCAACACATGCACTAACAGATGCGTTCTGTCCATTCGAGTGCTGAGATTGTTGATGTCCTTGTCCATGTCCCTGGGCAGGTTTTCGCCTGGTAATTGATTTTAGCAAGTGCTTCTGACCTCTTAAAAAACCTTCATTCGCAAATTCCCATCTATCTGGGTCAACCTTTCGGAAACCCTGTTTTAAGGAAAGGCATGCAAAATGGAATGAAAATGGATTCCACCGAAACAAAGGAGAAAGACTTCAACACGACACAAAATCTAACTGCCAACTATTCACAGATTCAAACAGCCATAACTTATTAGTTGGCACATGCTCCAGAGCAATTTTCAATCAGAAGTCAAGTAAATGAAACAGACCAAAGGCGGTTTAATCTAATATAGTGAACAGAAGAATCAAGAAAACAGCTAAATTCATGTTCCTATTATGGGTCTTATCCACCACCCAAACCAGAGGAAAAATAAAAATATCCAATAGGTATCATTGAAAACTAAGAAGAGTGTAAGGTCTCTATCAAATACCAATCTTTATGTCAGAGTCTGCATGTTATAAACTAACAAAGGGTGAAGTACTCTTTGAAATAGCGCCCCAACATGTGTTACAAGGACACTAAGGACTAATAATATTCACAAATGTAGCAAATAGGAACTGTCTGCAGAGAAATCAAGCATTCACCATCTTGCAGCTATATTAGCATTCTGCTCTAAACATTATGCAGTACAAGTTCTACTCGCCAAGACCTTATGTAAATCTGTTTATATAGGCAATAGAACCTCCATCCAGCCTATATGACCAGAAACTATTAAATCCAAGTGCAACTGTACAGAGAAAATCTATGATTACCGCAACTGACATGCTAGACAAAAATGTAAAGTCATACAAATAGTCTAGTAACAGCACAGATATCGCAACATTGAACACCCATATATCTAGTTATGATCTAGTTTCTAACTCCAGGACCTAAAAATTCTCCATTAAACTTGACTCATTCAGAAGTTACAACAAGATGATACATAGTTATACAGAGAGTCGATAACCTTGCACTCAGGTCATGATCAACATGAAACTTGCTCTCTTTTTCCATTTTCTTCTTTCTTCATGTTTATATTGCTGAGAAAATTCAGGAAGGTTCATTACTATCTTAGTTTCAAACTTTCACATCTACAAGTTGAAACACTAATGACTAATCCAATCAGTAACACTCAGGCCAGGAAAGTGACTTCATTCAGTTATATGTATCTCCCCTAACACTATATGTAGTGTGAGTGTAAGCTTTATCAACTCCCTTATTTATACCATTATCACACCAGGAATCCGCATTCCATGAAAATATGCTAACCTGATTTGCAGTATATCATCTTTTCATATTCCGAAAACCGTGAGGTTCTAAGCTAAACAATCACAAGGCATCAGTCTCTAGAAAGACATACTAAAGATAGCTAACAATCTCTTCTACCGGCTAAAACTATTGTTCAACAAGCTAAATAAAAACTCCCCTGCTCAGTAAGTTATTAGCATCAAGAAAAGCCATTGCAGAAACATAAGTAAGGCCATGGCAACAACATCAACAAAACCTAGTTCATAACCGTGCTACTACTGAAAGTGAAGGGAAAGGGAGAAAAAGCTTACATAGGTATTAAGCTGCCTGACGAAGCTGGAGAAATTATTATGCTTAAAGTTCTTAGGAAGAAGATCTCTAGCGAACAACGGCGGATCCCAAACGATAAAACTATTGTTATCAGCACCCCACGACACAATCGAATCTGTAGAGGGATCATCAACCATGTCATAGGTCTTGCTCAGGAACGGAGGAGGCGCGTTTGAACTTAGAATCGCGGCAGGCTGAGGTTGAGGAGAAGGCTTAATCTCCATTGATTCGACAGTTACAGATCCTCCTCCTCCTCCACCACCACCGTCGCTGGTGGATACTTTGCTTCTCACACCACCATCCATTTGAATTTTTTTTGTGTGTTTCTCTCTTAGTCAAGAATGGGATTTTGAGAAATTTAGGGTTTCAATATAACAGAAACTGGTGAAGAAAACTACACAAGGAGATTATTGAGGGTGAGAGAAGTGTGGTGGAAGAGAGAATCTTATAGAACAAAGACGACGAGAGAGAGAGAGAGAGATGGGCGGAGGAGAGAGATTAAATCCTTTAAGAGTTCGACGGAGCAAGGAGGAGAAGGGAACAAGACGACGGGAGACCCATGAACTATTTTGCGAAATTACGTAAATAGACATTTCGCTTTTTTGGGAGATTGGATACGTGTCATTTTATGAGTGGTTGTTACGCTCTGTTTCTTTGTGATGACACGAGTATCAAATTTTTGGAGTATTAAAACGTAATATAATAATATTAAGAACTAATTTTAAATTAATAAAAAAATAAGTAATAAATTTTCTGGAACAAAGTCGAAGCTCCTATTTTAAAATGATTACAAAAAGATACATTATTGAAATCATATAACTTTAATAATTTGCCAAAGAAAAAACAAAAAGTTTCAGAAAACCAACAATTTATTTATTTTTCATTTATTTAAAGCATAATGTGATCAAGGAGAGATATGAGTTTCATCAACATGATTACTTATTATATCTAATAGTACTATGTGATGCTGTGAAGTGGTGACTCATTGTGACTTAGTCGTAAGTGATGGTGAATTCGAAGTTGCGCTCCTTCCATTCATCACTATTCGCCGCCTTGTACCTCTCATAGAACATCACTTCCTTATCGGGTTTCACCACCAAAGCTGTCGTACTTGTTGTTCCATATCGTTCGTTATCAGCCTGATTCCGAAGAGAATATATGATGCGCATGTCATGATGAGAATTATAAAACAATGATGTCCTAGTTCTTGTGTTATTCGTTTTCTTACATTTATGTCGACGAAATTAGCGCTCAGTGGAACTTCGTCGCTCAATTTGACTTGGCTATACATAAACTTCGAAGCAAGTTCCTTCATTGATGGTGGTAGTCCTTGTTTAATCATCTCATAAAAAGAGAGCCATAGATGTGTATCCTGCATTATTATACCAAGAAAGAGAGTTTTGATTATAGTTTAGAGTTTTACATTTTATACGAAAAGGTATATAACTGTTACAAGAACTTGTTTTCTATCAAATTACCTTGTAATAAGCAATGCGATCGAGTCCGGCCATCGTTAAGGTATGAACACCAGGAGCAACAGCACCTGTATGGACAACACTTTCTGGAGTCTCTTTGCAGATATAATACATTGAGTTTGACTTTATGTCCGCCACAATTAGGTGATAGGCTTTCCCATGATTACATTGAGAATGTCCAGCCACTGACTTTGCAAAGTCCTTTGGACTCAAGTTGCTCTGTACGTAATTCAAAAGCCATTCCCGTGAGGAGAAGCCAAAATAGTTTAAGCAAAGGAAAACGAAAAAAAGACAAGATCATGAATCAAAACCCTCAAGAACTCAAGAGTATGACACTCGAAGCCGGCAGCTCTGTTAAAAGGGATTGCATCCACAAGAAAAGCGACTCGGCCTCGCTTAGAAATACCAAACCATGTCCCTCTGTTGTATGTAGACCAACCTCGCAATATTTTGTCATTCCACAGCCAACCCGCTGGTTTTATGACTCTTTTAAATCATTCATTCATACAAATGAAAAAAGCAAACATCGTCAAGAAAACATTCATCTACACGAACAACTTTAAAACACTATGATTGAATCTAAAACTTGCCTGGATTCCCAGTTGTCTCGGTTCATCAACAGCGTCAGTTTGTTGTATTCCTCTCCCCATTGGAATGCCACAGCCCCCATTTTTGTTTTTGTTTTTTGCTTGCTATTGAATCTATTTGTGATATCTTGTAGTGATTTTGAGTTGTGAATACCCTCTCTGTTTTTATAGTCGATATCTTGTAGTTACGTCTCATCATGCTCTACTAAGAATCTAGTCGATTGAGAGAACCAACAAGTCTTTTGTATGTAAGAATCTAGTCAGATTGAGTACCGAGATGGCTTGGGACAAAATGTTGAGAAAAAAGTGGTTTCTAATAGCTGTAAACTTGCTATAGTAAGTAAAATGGAAGATACATTGTTTCAACATATCTCAAATTGTTCCACTTTTACTCTAGATTTTTTTTACTGAGTAAAAAGGAGTGCATTTGTATGTGGAACAACACGTTAGAAATACTTTTACTATTCTAAAAGTATAACAAAGGTGGTTTTATAGTGGCACACACAAGTTTAAGACTCAATGCCAACTAATATTTGGTCTTATTTGCTTTAGTTCTGATGAAACATAGATATTAAGTGTATACCAACAAAAGAAAAGAGAAAAAAGAGATTTCTTGTGACACACGTTAGGAGATTTGTATTCATACGTAAAACTTGATCATTTTCATACAAAAGTGTTAAAAAGGGTGCCACATGTTCTTTTTTGAGGCTCCATACTAATATTACATTTTGCTTATAACTTTGGTGAGTTGTGTGAAACTAATTATGTTAATTTATGAAACTGACAATTTTGGATTATCAGCCGTTAACACTTAAGAAGAATTTCAAAACAAAACAATCTCTTCGCCTCATGGCTTTACTTCTTTGTCTTGTTATAGTTGTCATGATAAATGGTAGTGTGCATGCTTTTCCTTAATTTCTATATATTCTCTCTATATCTATTACGTTATTGATTTCTGAATAAACTTTTAACCGTTCTTAAAGAATAGCTTGATCAGGGTTTACAAAAGACTATAACGGCGCGAGCCAAATTGTCTGCATTCATCATAACTATGGCTAGGTTTTGTCACTGGAATTTGAGATATACGTAAATTAAAAGTTGAAAGTAAAGGGAGGATCGAAGAGAAACTATAGCTCAAGAAGAATAGTAAAGATGGAAAATATAAGGTGGACTTTCAAGTTACCATAGGAAAGTTTTAGAAAACAAACAATCAATTTATTTATTATTAATTAAGCATCATAATGTTTTTAATTATAGACTGGGTTAATTATAGAGAAGAGATCTATTATATACAGCATCAACAACATTATTTATTAATTATATTTGGATGCTGCTCAATGTTTCTTTGTAACTCTCTCTTCTCTACTCCAGGTGGTAGAAACTGAAGTCGTGCTCGTCCCATACAGAATTATTGTTCCTGAACCTCTCAAAGACTATCACTTCCTTAGAGTGTTTCACCAGCAACGCTGTCGTACTTGTTGTTCCATGGAGTTGCTTTCCCTGAAGAAATGAAACGATATAAAGAGATCAATGATGGGTACGAGACTACGAGAGGATGGCCTCATTACAAACATTAGATCAAAAATTGCTTACTTTGGAGACAGGATGGTGAATCATATTGTCCATAAACATCGTTCCTTTACACATAAAGTTCCTAGCAAACTCTTCAAGCTGTGGTTTTGGTTTGTTTCCCAAACCACTAATCATCTGAGTAAAATGGTCTCTCAGTTTCACATCCTACACACACATAAAAGAAGGTTTGAAAGATCTAGATATATATTGACAAAACAAGGAATGCCATGTAGTTAGTTACGTTACAGCAAGAAAAATGTAATAACTTGATTACCCTAGAGGTCTTGGAATCCAGACCGTCCAAAGGAGAAAGTGTGTGCACACCAAAATGAACAGGTTGTATCAAGAAAGAGCTATGATTTGGCTGATGTTTGTAAGGTTTCCAGACATGAAACATTGAGTTCGAATTCATATCTGCGACTATAAGGCTATAGGACCACCCTTCTTGTCTTCCCCCGTCACGATGTACCATCTTGTCGGCAAAACCCTGTGGACTCAGATCGCTCTGCGATCAAAAACAAAGAAATCTTGTGATCAAATTAATAATATCAAATAATGCAACAAAGATTATAATAAAAAATAAAAATACAAAATGAAACCTCCAAGAACTCAACGGGGTACAACTCGCAGCCGCCGTCTGGAACAAAGTGGTCGACCAACAACGTTCGACTCATGAGAAACGCGACTCGGCCTCGCATAGATATCGCAAACCACGTTCCATTGTTATATTCGCACCGGCCACTCAATATATGGCCTTTCCAAGACGCACCACTTATGACCCTGTTGTTCATTCAGACAGAACATTATAAAAATTAAAGTCATAAAACGTTATTAACGTACGTACGGTCGATTCAAAAATTCAAGAAAACCAAGAAATGAAACCATCGAATGAAACTTGCCTTTTTACATAATTTTCTCTGTTCATCATAAGAGTCAGTTTGTTGTTGCCTTCCCCTTCCGCTGCCCACTCGAATGCTACGATCCCCATTTTTGCTATTTGAAAGAGTATTATAAGTTTATTTTGCTATTGTAATCTTTTGGCACTCTTGCTCTGTTCGTGTAATATCTTGAGTTGTGATTTGTGAAACGTCTTCTCTGTTTTTATAGCCGAGAGATGATGATGGTGGATGATGATCTCTCTTTCTCTGCTTTTTTCCTTTGCGTGTTCTTATCCTTCACCCCCACGCACTTAAGAGCTTGATTTATCCATATTCGGATATAGCTTTTGTTGTTTTCTATCACCATCCATCACCATACTCTCTCCCCACATTGAGTAACTCAGGAACCGTGTCTCTGTGGTTCAATCATAAAGCGAAATAAAGTAGCTTTTAGAAGTACAAATATGCTATTGTAAGTAAAATGGAAGATGCAGAGTATCAACGTTTTCAACATTATTCCACTTCTGGTCTCTAGCTCTTTTGCTTCTGAAGTTTGAGTGATGGAGACGTGTCATATGTATGATAGAATGATCGATGATTATTTCATTTACTATACTAAGAATGAATATACAACAAGTGGATTCTTTGGTAGCACACAAGTCAAACTATTATTTGTTCTTAGCTAGCTTTGGTGGTAGTTTGATTCTAGTGGCTATAGTGTTGATTGAGTTAGGAGGAGTCTTGTGTATGTGGATCTATTTAGAAATATGTTATCTATTCTAAAAATATACAAAGGTGGTCTATAGTGGCACATAAGTTTAAGACTCAAAAATCGAACTAGTATTTGGTCTAAATTATCTTTTGTAATCTGTGTCTAGTGGTTATATGTGACCTTCTTTTATCAAAGAGACACTAGGTATACATTGTGGAAACATTGAGACTTAACATAATAAGAAAGATAAAAGAGATTTCTTGTGACACACGTTAAATATTTGCATACACAAAACTTGATCACTTTCATACCAAAATTTAAAAAGTTTTTTTTGGTGTGGCTCCATACTAATATTCCAATTTGTTTATAACTTTGGTCAATATATAAAATGGAAGTTTAAGAACTCAAATGATCCAAAACTAATCTTTGGTCTTAGCTAAGCTAGCTTTGGTGGTTGTTCATATGCGTGTATGTGCAACAATTTGGAATTACCTTTTATACTAATTTGAGAGAAAGTGAAACTAGGGCCATTTTGGTTGTTTATGTTATTAATTATTGTTGATTGATTTTTATATGTTTCAAATCTTGAGTTGAGAAATTAAGCGAAATATGGAAAAATTAAATAAAGCTTAAATTGTTTAATCGGAAAAGTGTACAGTATAAGAGAAAAAATAGAAATAAACAGTAATAAGTAATAACATGGTTTACATCATACACATGTTTCGTTTTTGTGTTTTGTGTCAATGTAACATTATAAATAACCTTTCAACACACATGTCGAAGAGTCTATTTACTACGCACACACACAATTCTCATATCGATAATCACAGAAACACTCTTTCGAAGATGTCGAAGATCGAATAGCTGTAAACGTGATATAGTACTAAGTTGGAAGATACATTGTTTCAACATTTTTCAACTTTGACTGTAGCTTTTATTTTTTACTGAGTAAAAAGGAGTGCATGTGTATGTGGAACAACACGTTAGAAATACTTTTAATATTCTAAAAGTATAACAAAGGTGGTTTTTTAGTGGCACACACAAGTTTAAGACTCAATGCCAACTAATATTTGGTCTTAATTTGCTTTGGTAATCTGATCAAACATAGATGATAGATATTAAGTGAATACCAACAAAAGAAAAGAGAAAAAAGAGATTTCTTGTGACACACGTTAGAAGATTTGTATTCATACGTAAAACTTGATCATTTTCATACAAAAGTGTAAAAAAGGGTGCCACATGTTCTTTTTTGAGGCTCCATACTAATATTACATTTTGCTTATAATTTTGGTGATTTGTGTGAAACTAATTATGTTAATTTATCAAAGTAATAATTTTGGAAAATAGTAATCTCTTTATCAGCAATTAAGACTTAAGAATTTCAAAACAAAACAATTTCTTCACATCATGCCTTTTTTTTCTTTGTCTTGTTATATAATTGTCATGCTAAATGCCTTTCCTTAATTTCTATATCTATTACGTTCTTGATTTTTTTCCTTACTTAATATCTTCATGTTAACATCAAGAACGTTCTTGCTTTTTCCTGATCTCTTAATAACTTTAAACGGTTCTTGAAGAATAGCTTGATCAGGGTTTACAAATTAAAAGACTATGACCGAGCCAAATTGTCTGCAATCATCATAACTATGGCTAGGTTTTATCACCGGAATTAAAATATACATAAATTAAGTTAAAAGTAAAGAGAAAGAGAAACTATAACTCAAGAATTATATAGATGGAAAATACATATAAGGTGAACTTTCAAGTTACCATATAGGAAAGTTTAATTTATAGAAAACAAACAATTTATTTATTTATTATTAAGCATCATAATGTTTTTAATTAGAGAGAAGAGATCTATTATTATATACAGCATCAACAACATTATTTATTAATTATATTTGGATGCTGCTAGCTCAGTGTTTCTTTGCAACTCTCTCTTCTCTACTCCGAGTGGTAGAAATGGAATTCGTGCTCGTTCCATACAGAATTATTGTTCCTGAACCTCTCAAAGACTATCACTTCCTTAGAGTGTTTCACCAGTAACGCTGTAGTACTTGTTGTTCCATGGAGATGCAATCCCTGATTCGAAATGAAAAGAAAGAGATCAATGATGGGTACGAGAGGATGGCCTCATTACAAAACATTAGATCAAAAATTTGCTTACTTCGGAGACAGCATGGATAATCATTCTGTCCGTAAACATCGTTCCTTCCCCAGGACTACACATAGATCTCCTAGCAAACGCTTCAAGCTGTGGTTGTGGATTGTTTCCCAAGCCACTAATCATCTGAGTAAAACGGTGTTTCAGGTGCACATCCTACAAAAAAAAGAGGGTTGGAAAGAGCTAGATTATGACAAAACAAGGAATGTCATGTAGTTAATTACAGCAAGATAAGACACTTGTAATTACCTTGGGTTCGGTCATGGAATCGAGACCTTCAAAAGGAGAAAGTGTGTGCACACCAAACGGAACAGTTTGTATCATAAAATTCGGCTGACTTTTGTCGGGCTTCCTGATATGAACCATTGAGTTCGAGTTCATGTCTGCGACTATAAGGCTATAGGACCACCCGCATTGTCTTGTTCCGTCACGTTGTACCATTTGCTCGGCAAACTCTTGAGGACTCAGATTGCTCTGCGATCAAAACAAATAAATCCACAGAGCAAATTAAGATATCAAAATATGAAAAGCAAAGATATATAAAAATAAAATTAAAAAAGATGAAACCTCCAAGAATTTAACAGGGTACAACTCGCAGCCGCTGTCTGGTTCAAAGTCGTCAACAATCAACGTTACACTCATGAGAAACGCGACTCGTCCTCGTTTAGAAATAGCAAACCACGTTCCATTGTTATATTCGCACCGACCACTCAAGATATGGCTGTTCCAAGACGCACCACTTATGACCCTGTATTGTTAATAAAGTCATCAACATTGTTTTATATAACGTACGGTCGAGTCACAAATTCAAGAAAAAACCAAGAAAGACAAGAAACGATCGAATGAAACTTGCCTGCTTACATAATTGTCTCTGTTCATCATAAGCGTCAGTTTGTTGTTGCCTTCCCCTTCGGCTGCCCACTTGAATGCTAAGATCCCCATTTTTGGTTTTTGATAAGAGTATAATAAAGTTTATTTTGTTATTGTAATCTTTTGGCACTCTTGCTCTGTTTCGTGTAGTGATATATCTTGAGTTGTGAACCCCTTCTCTGTTTTTATAGCCGAGAGATGATGATGGATGATGATGGATGATGATGGATGATGATGGATGATGATCTCTCTTTCTCTGCTTTGGTCCTTTGCGTGTTCTTGTTCTTCACCCCACGCACTTAAGAGCTTGATTTATCCATATTTGGATATAGCTTTTGTTGTTTTCTGTCACCATCCATCATCATACTCTCTCTTTCATTGAGTAACTCAGGAACCGTGTCACTGTGGTTCAATTGTAAAACGAAATAAAGTAGCTTTTAGAAGTACAAATATGCTATTGTAAGTAAAATGGAAGATGCAGATTATCAACGTTTTCAACATTATCCTACGTCTGCTCTCTAGCTCTTTTGCTTCTGAAGGTTGAGTGATGGACGTGTCATATGTATGATAGAATGATCAAGAATTATTTCATAAGAATGAATATACAACAAGTGTTTTTTTGGTGGTAGCACACAAGTCAAACTATTATTTGTTCTTAGCTAGCTTTGGTGGTAGTTTGATTCTAGTGGCTCTAGTGTCGATATCTTGTAGTTACGTCTCATCATGCTCTACTAAGAATCTAGTCGATTGAGAGAAACCAACAAGTCTTTTGTATGTAAGAATCTAGTCAAATTGAGTTACCGAGATGGCTTGTGACAAAAGTAGTGAGAAAAAGTGGTTTCTGATAGCTGTAAACTTGCTATAGTAAGTAAAATGGAAGATCTATTGTTTCAGTATTTCTCAAATTGTTCCACTTTTACTCTAGCTTTTTAACTGATAAGAGTAAAAAAGGGGTCACGTGTATGTCGAACAACGTTAGAAATACTTTTAATTACTATTCTAAAAGTATACAAAGGTGGTTTTAAGTGGCACAAACAAGTTTAAGACTCAATGCCAACTAATATTTGGTCTTAATTTGCTTTAGTACGTACGTAATATTATCAAACATAGATATTAAGTGTATACCAACAAAAGAAAAGAGAAAATGAGATTTCTTGTGACACACGTTAGAAGATTTGTATTCATACGTACAATTTGATATTTTCATACCAAAGTGTAAAAAAGGGTACCACATGGTTTTTAGAGGCTCCATAGTAACATTACAATTGAGAATTTCAAAACAAAACAATCTCTTCACGTTATGGCTTTGTCTTGTTAATTATAGTTGTCATGATAAATGGTACTATGGTAGTGTGCATGCTTTTCCTTGATTTGTATATGTTCTTTCTGTACGCTCTTGATTTGTTTTTCTTAATATCTACATGTTCTTGGATTTTCTTGATTTCAAGTTCTTGTTTATTTCTTAATTTTCACGTACATTAAGTTGAAATTAAAGTAAACAGAAAGAGAAACTATAGCTCAAGAATTGTATAGATGGAAAATATAAGGTGAAATTTCAAGTTACCATAGGAAAGATTTAGTAAAATAAACAATTTATTAATTTTTATATCAAGCATCATAATGTTTTTATAGACTGACCAAGGAAATATGATTTCCTCAATCGACAAGGTTAATTAGAGAGAAGAGATCTATTATATACAGCATCAACAAGTTTATTTATTAATTAATTATATTTGGATATGCTGCTCAATGTTTCTTTGTAACTCGATCTCTCTATTCTACGTGAGGTCGAAATGGAAGTTGTGCTCGTCCCATAAAGCATAATTGTCCCTGAACCTCTCAAAGACCATCACTTCCCTAGTGTGTTTCACCGCCAATGCTGTCGTACTTGTTGTTCCGTGGAGATGCTTTCCCTGATTTCGAAATTAAAAGAAAGAGATTCAATGATGGTAACAAGAGGATGAATCATACCAACATTAAACATTAGATAAAAAAAAATGGTTACTTCGGAGAGACGATGGCTCATCATTTTTTCCTTAAACATCGTTACTTGACCTCCTTTTCCAGGACTACACATAAATCCCCTAGCAAACTTTTCAAGCTGTGGTTGTGGATTGTTTCCTAAACCACTAATCATCTGAGTAAAACGGTCTCTCAGGTTCACATCCTACACGTACACACACAAAAGAGCGTTTGAAAGATCTAGATTTCGACAAAACAAGGAATATTGTCATGTAGTTAAGTTACAGCAAGAAGACACTTGTAAATAACTTTATTACCCTAACATCGGTCGTGGAATCGAGACCTTCAAAAGGAGAAAGTGTGTGCACACCAAACGGAACGTTTTGTATCATGATTTCCGGCTGACTTTTTTCAGGCTTCCTGATATGAACCATTGAGTTCAAATTCATGTCTGCGACTATAAGGCTATAGGACCACCCGTCTTGTCTTTTTCCGTCACGTTGCACTATTTATCGGCAAAAGCCAGTGGACTCAGATTGCTCTACGATCAAAAACAAAGAAATCTTGTGATCAAACTAATAATATCAAATAATACAACAAAGATTATAAAATAAAATAAACCTCCAAGAATTCAACGGGGTACAACTCGCAGCCGCTGGCTGGATAAAAGTGGTCGACCAACAACGTTCTACTCACGAGAAACGCAACTCGGCCTCGTGTAGAAATAGCAAACCACGTTCCATTGTTATATTCGCACAGACCACACAACATATGGCTGTTCCAAGACGCACCACTTATGTCCCTGTATTGTTAATAAAGTCATCATCAACATTGTTTATAACGTACGGTCGAGTCACAAATTCAAGAAAAACCAAGAAAGTAACGAAACGATCGAATGAAAAAACTTGCCTGTTTACATAATTCTCTCTGTTCATCATAAGCGTTAGTTGGTATTCGCCTTCTCCTTCCGCGGCCCAGTTGAATGCTACGATCCCCATTTTTGCTTTTTTAAAGATTATTATAAAGTTTTTATTTGTTATTGTAATCTTTTGACGATCTTGATCTGTTCGTGTAGTGTGATATCTCGAGTTGTGAACCCCTTCTCTGTTTTTATAGCCGAGAGAGATAATGATGGTCTTGATGGATGATGATCTCTCTTGCTCTGCTTTGTTCCTTTGCGTGTTCTTGTTCTTCTTCCAAAGTAACCTCCTCACGCACTTAAGAACTTGATTTATCCATATTTGGATATAGCTTTTGTTGTTTTCTGTTGCTATCGATTCATCATACTCTCTCCCCCATTGACTAACTCAGGAACCGTGTCTCTATGGTTCATTAGACGTTTACAGATGTGTAAAACGAAATAAAGTAGCTTTTAGAAGCTCAAATGTGCTATTGTAAGTAAAATGGAAGATGCAGAGTTTCAACGTTTTCAACATTATTCCACTTCTGGTCTCTAGCTCTTTTGTTCTTGGAGGTTGAGTGATGATGGACGTGTCATGCATGTGTATGGTAGAACAACAACAATCAATAAATATATCTTTTACTATACTAGAATATATATACAAGGCACACAAGTCAAACTACTCAAATCCAAACTATTCTTTGTTCTTAGCTAGCTTTGGTGGGTTGTTCGATTCTAGTGGCTCTAGTGCTCATTGAGCAAGGAGGAGTACTCATGTGTATGTGTATCAATTTAGAAATATTTGTACTATTCTTAAAATGTATAAAGATGGTTTATAGTGGCACACAAGTTTATGACTCAAATCCAATTACTAGTATTTTGGTCTTAATTCGCTTTTGTAATTATACTTAACATACCTAACAAAAACAAAATGAGAGAAAAGAGATTTCTTGTGAAACACGTTAAAGATTTGCATCCATACACAAAACTTGATCACTTTCATACAAGAAACACAATTGGTCGTCTCCACTACTTGTCTAAGTTCTCTTGTATATCCGATTTACATGTTCATCAGAAGGTGGCTCCTCGCTTAAGTTGTTGTCGCAGTCTAAATCGGATCCGGTTCATGAGAAGCTGAATCGAGAAGTAGAGTTGTTTCATGGTTCTGTCATAATTGGTGCTGCTCCATCACCGAGACACGTGCCTCTTCCAATTTTTTTTTGTGTCTGAGCGGGAGGATTAAAGAGTCTTCGAAGCTAACGATGACTTCAATGAGAAGAAAACGAGAATCTTTGGAGAGTTTTGTTGTTTGTTTTTGTTTATTATTGTCTTTGTTCTGTGTTAGTGTAGTCTGTGTAACTCAGTAGTTGCTAACTTGTAATAGATCCACAATTAGGTAATTGATTTCTCTTTCATTCATATTTTATGCTAATGTTACCTTTAATTTTCAGCCTTTTGTGATAATCACTTATGAAAGCTTTCAGAGTCTAAATATAACCTAATTAGTCACACCAATCTATACTTTTAAATTTCTAATACCTTAATAAGAATAGGATCTAGGAAACATATGAACAATTGAGTTATCTTTATCTTCAAACAATGAACCAAACCCATCAACGTTTTTACTGAACCATAAGCAAATTCTAAGACACAATATTGACAGAGAATAATATATATATATTGAAACCACAATCGAAGAAAATAAATCAAACTTATCAATGTTTCTTTGGAGTTTGGACCTCTGAAACAAATGACACCCTCTAAAAAAGAAAAACAGAAATTTTGTGTTCGATCTTTGCAGACATGCCTTTACCCATCTGTGTGTTGCTTGCAACCCTTTGGTCCATAATGCTGAGCAGATTTCTTCACCACTTTCTTACAAAGATAGCAAAAGTGAGCTTGACATGACCAGCAAAACAAGTGGTTGTTGTTTCCAGCCTACACAATAACGAAGAACTCAAAACTCATCTCATGAACCTATAAACCCCATAATTCACTTGGTTTCACTGGCTTTGATGAAATCAGAATAGTTTTTACCTTTGCATTGAACTGGCGGCAATTAGGACATAACTGGCCGCGCTGTGGAAACTGACCGTGTTGTGCAAACATTTGAGCTTGAATCTGTCCAATGAGTTGTCGTTCATTGATCCTCTCATTCCATTCTTGGATCGCCTCTTGTGGGAACAGATCACAAGTTCCCTCGCTTTTTTCCAAAGAAGACAAGGTTTATTTATTTAGTTCCAAGATTATATACATATGTACCTGTTCTTTCATATATATGTAAGATCACTAACCGGAAATGTTCATAGCCACTTATAGCTTTGTTGCAACGGTAACAAAAGTATTGGCCACAGTTATTGCAGACCATTTTGTTACAACCTCCGGTTCTTGAGATGGCTATTTTGCAAGATGGGCATTGTTTAGCGCTTTTCAAGATTGTCTTCACACTCATAATCTCATTGATCATTTCTTTTTCTTTCCGCCTTTGTTCCTCTCCAAGACGAGAAGAACCCTGACGCTCCTGAATAGATTTACATGTAAGAAAGAGTCAACAGTTCAAGATCTTTTGAGATATATAACAAACAGATACGTAGTAACAGATACCAAGGCACAATACTGATACCTGCAAGATTTGAAGCCTAAGTTCCGGGCTCATGCAAGCCACACCCACATGTCTCTTTTCTTTACAAAGTGTACAGAAACTAAAGTAGCATTTGAAGCATAAAGCAAGCTGCTCCTCATCCTCTATACAAGGGGTTTCACATCTAGGACAGTAAGCTACGTCAGTCATGGATTCCAATGTTTTCTGTAACATAAGAGTTTCCCAGCGTTCATATGCTTCATCGCCCAGCAATCTCTTCAATATACCTGGCGGAACAATTTCTCCACACTTCGATTCAGGACACTTAAGCTTGTTCACTGTGCCTTCAGAGACATGTATGTCTGTATATGTCTTCATACATTTCAAACAAAAGAAATGCTCGCATGGTAACTTGACAAAGTCAATACCTGTCCAAGTAATATGGAGAAACAAGTGTAACCAGCTTGAACCAACACACAGCACAAAAGCAAAGAGCTATGAAGAAGAATATGTTTTACCTGCAGATTCAGAGAAACATATAGAACATTCATGCAAGCTCTGAAGGAAGCTATCATGACGTTTCTCATCATCATAACTCCTAATATAAGGAATATCTGAATCCGGAGAACGACTTCCAGACACAGCACGCTTATCTCTAGAACATGAAACCCCATAAGGACCAAGAACAATCTCATCATCAAAGCCAAGATGAGAAATTGAAGAGTTCTGTAGCCAGTCTGTCCATTGGTACAAAACTTCTTGCCCTGGCTGCTCACTCCATATAGAGTCCAGCATGGAGCAGAGACTTGAAATCTTATCAGGGTTCATCCATTGAACACTTATCAAGAAATAAGGCGGTAAGTGGCTCGGATATGCATTTGGTAACAAACATGTCAACACAATCGGCGGAAGATGCTGTGCCTTGAAAGAGTACAAGAAATCCTCTGACTCAGATTGTAAGTTAAGCTTCGTAGAGATGGTATATTCACTAGTAGCTTCAACGTTTACATGAACCTGCAAAAAAACCAATTAAAGATCCCTTCAAATCATTAGAACATTTTATTATGTCACATTATCAAATATGAAACAGAGCTTATCTCTGACCTGAAAGTATCTCATATCTTTATGCCGATCAAAGATGAACATGTTGCCTCCATAGATATACCCCAGTGCCAAAAGCTACAAGATTTCAATACAACCAGTAACACCAAATGAGAATCTAATCCACAAACTTGTTTTAATCAAGCCTAAACATAACAAAGGTCAAAACTTTATAGCTCCAATTACCTCATCTTCCTGTAATTGATCATTCATCTTTAGTTGCTCCTCTGTTAGCTCTGGCTCACTGACGCTACATCTCAAATCCTTCAGAATAGTCAACATAATATCTTCATTCGTCTCATACTCATCACCAGCATCACCAATTTCTTCACTTTCAGCTCTCTGCGCCACCGATTCCTCAGAATTCGAATGATCAACACAACTGAGATGATTCTTATCCTTCGTAATCGAACTCACACTCAACGAATCTGAATTCGAATTCTGTTTCAGCTTTAAGCTACTCAAATCATCAGCTAAGCAATCTACAACATCGGTTTCAGCAAAAGCCACCTCAACAGGACGAGGTTTTGAATTTGATTCACGGCCGCCGCGCCGACTCCGAGGACTCCGGTGAGGTTTTGTATGATAATCGAGGTTTTGTAATGGCTGAGAAGTAGACGGAGACGACAGATCCGTAGCAGTCGTGTCTTCTTGTTGATGGTCCGTTACTAGATGATCGTTAACTGGATTCGCAATCCCACCGCCACGGCGGACGTAACGGCGGTCGTGGTGTCTACCACTGCCTCCGTGTGTCCGTCTCATGGCGGTCTCGTAGCGCAAATTTGGGTCCAAAGCACAAAACTCAGTCAATGACCTTGTTTGTTGTGTTGTGTTGTGTTGTGTTGTGTTGTGTTGGGGTTTTGATGACGTAGTTAATTTGATGACATAGGATTGTGTCCGAAACTTTTTCCATCCTTTTTAAAACACATCAGATTTATATATTCTATGTTTATAACAAATTAATTAAAGATGTTTTAAATACCAAAAATAATAGATAAATAGCAATATTGAATATTTAATCTTATATATTATTAAAAAAAAAATCAAAAGTTCTACCAGAAAAAAATCGAAATTCCATTATAAATAAATAAAGGTTCATAGAATGAAAATTAATAATTGTCTTTAAACACCAAAAATGTCAAATACTAATCAAATTAAACATTACTAATAGTAAAATACTGTATGTTAATAATTTTCATTACTTATAAAGATGAAAATACATTAATAAATTTTTAAAAAAATTGAAAAACCAATCAAATTGAAAGTTAATTTTTGTATATCTAATTTACCAAAAAACATTTGTCAAACAAATAAACACCACATCATCTATTAAATATATATATTTTTCCTTACATATATCATGAACTGAATTTTTAAAATTAATATAAATTGTTCAAGATATAAAAAATAGTAATGGATCAAAATTTCAACATCGGATATGAAGATAAGTGGTAATATAAAAATACAAACATTTAACTAGGATATAATATAAATGTAATTTTTTTCACTGCAACAACATCACTTATATTGTATAGTAAATATAAATTTACACTCTCCAATTATCAAGTAAAGAATAACAATTTTGAACAATGATAATTAACAAAAAAGAGAAGAAAATTAATAAACGTATAATGGATATATATCCACAATCACATAGGTTTGTCATACATGTATACAAAGAAGCTTTGTCAAATGATCTTTTAATGATATCCAATAGGAGCCGGAGCTTCCTTGAGTTCATGTCCTTTAAATTGTATATCCTGCACAAACATTTTAATCCCTTATGTTAGCAAAATTGAAATCCACATTTTAATATGTTATACATTATAAGACTATATATAGATTAACTCTTTACCGAAGCATAGTGGTTAAGATCTCGGTGGTGAGCTTCATCAGCTCGTATAACATAAACCACGTCCCTGAGCGTCGCGTCTTTAGGCAACCTCCAGTAATCAATTGCGATGGCTGGAGCTGGCGAGTTTTCGAATTTTCCGGCATCGATGTCTTCGAGAAATTCGGTGTAAGAGTTCACAGCCTCTTCTTCTAAGTATCCAGTGATACGATGAGCAAGTTTTGGAGATATCACATAAGCCATGAAATATGCGTTGAAGAAAACGCCTTGGACCGTGAACACAATTACTCGTTCGTACCTTCAAAATAACAAGTTCAAATGATATATACTATTAATTACACAATTCTAACAAAATAATGATTTGAATTTAATTTGTATTACTAGATAAGTTATATAATACCATTTGGGTTGTGAGAGTTCAATGAAGGTCATGAGATGCATACGCTCGTTCTCGGCTTCTTCAAGCAATGCTTTAATCCATCCGCCACTATGTTCGAATCTCCGAAGAGATTTCAAATGCAAAAGCATCCCTCCGACCATTCCCGGCACCGCAGCTACTGTCTCTAGCAACATTGCATGACACATATGCTTCTTCTGTATACGCAAATATTAAAATTCATAGAATTTAGCAAAAATAGACAAACAAATTATTATATTGTAGCTTGGAAAGTTGTTGTAAACACTAACTAGCTCCTCTCGATACAACTACGTATTAGTGATTACCAAATTTTTGGAAAATTTGAATGAATATGAACAATTTGAAGATCTTAATAAAATTAAATTACCTGAAAAAATAGGTGAGCCGGTATTTTCAAAGTTTGAACGGTCCAATATGCGAATTTGTCAGTAAGATTGGAAGGTTTGTGATGTTTGGTTACATCAATAGACACGTCCGGTTTGTACGAATCCCACGGCTGAAAACAATTCCACTTCCAAGCTGAACCGTCTGGTTTAGTGATCTTAGCCGGAGATATACCCCAATAAGTGGATATAACTTTGCCGTCGACGGTCTGGATAGGTTTTTCCGGTTGGTTTTTACTCCCACTCGCCGGAGATGACGTGTCAGAACTAGAAAAGCGAAAAGTGGACAAGTGGTTGATGACTTGTCCTCCTATCCCCGGTCCAGTACCTAAACCGGAGATTTGTAGCGAAGATGATATCACCGGTCGAAGGGTACGGTAAATCAATGGATATTTGGAGGACATAGACATGATGAGTGTAATAAAATGAGAGAAGGTTTTAGATTATATGCCTTGGTCTTTAGATTTGGTTATGTGATTAGTTGAATTGTGAAGAGAAGAGTTTTATATACATGACTCATGAGTGAGTTATTACCAATCTTGGTCAAGTTCAAAGTTTCTTGGAGGAATAGAGGACATGTTTGACACGTTTGGTTCTATTTGGAAAAGTATTAGAACATGTGAAATTTACTTAATGATTGATTTTTGTTTTTGTTTCTTGCGAATAATATTCATACATCAACATTAGTCAAAATTTAATCACGAAATAGACACACCAAGTGACCAACTATATTCAATAGTTTTTATTTTGACTTTTTAATTTATTTATTTAACATTGTTACCGGAACATATATAATTATATACTACTTCTTGTATTAGTTTGACGTTGATTTATAAAAGTCTAGTAATATTTTAGAAAAAAAAAAAAGAGATATTTTAGAATATCTCATATGGTTAAGAATCAAATTCATTCATGGTGAATTAGCTTCTTTCATATATCTCTCTCTTTCTCTCATTAGTGCTCAGCTCTTCTCGAACCAATCAAGCGTTGCAGTTTACGTGCCCTCGTTGACCGGTGAGACACAAATGGCCGAGCGCAAATTTTTGGCATATAATGTTTATAGTCGTAACAATAACATAATGTATTGATCAATTCAAAACAAGCTAACTTATATATATATATCTAAGTAATTACAATAATTTTTAAGAGAAAAATTACAGTTTATATACCTGATTTTTTTTCATGCAATAATATTATGATGTAAATTCACGCTTTACTCTTTTATCATGGTAGATTAAGTATTTTTGGTCAGTTAGAGTAAAATAATTTTGTAAAAAATTGTCAAAAATTGTTGAAAATGATTAAAATAACTGTGTGATGTTTTTTATAAATATATTGATGTTCAACTTAATAAGCTAAGAAGAGAGTTAGAAAAAAGATTTAACTTTTGAGTGAAAATTTATGTTTATCATTGTTTTAGTAAGTGTTTAATGTTCTTTTAAGATGGATTTGTATGTAATAAGTCAAAACTTATTATGAATGTGTTGAGAAAGAATTTGCCTAGTTATGGACATATACATAATACATTTATACTACAATACAATCTCTATAAATTAATACTCTACATTATACTTTGATAACTCAATATATTTTATTATTTTGCTCATAAATTAGTTTTTTGACCGATCAGCATCAATAAATTGCTAAATCTTATAAATATAAAATCTTAATGTAGAATTTAGGTTCGTATCGCAACTAAAATAGTTGAAGTCTCAAAAAAATAATTCATTATAACTGAGTTTTTCAATATAGGAGAAGTGTAGTACGATTCAAATAGTAACGAAAATATATAGATATATATGTATATGCAGATATATTGATACTGTTACAGCACTATTACGGTGCGGTTTTATAGTACGATATGGTTAGTGGTTACCATTAGCAGCCTAAGAGTAATTAACAAAGATTTGTTCTCAGTTTTGTTGTTGTTGTTTGCACAACAATTTAACCCTGCAAAATTGTCGTTTACACTTTAGGATTTTAGGAGGGAAAAAAGAAGAAGTGAAATCAAATCCTTATCCATTAAATTAAATGAGCAACACTCACTTCATATGGATAAAATAAGTGATATAAGTGATGATCAGTGATCATTTAATTTAGTGTAAAATTTTTTGCAGGTTTCAGATTTCTCTTTCTTTTATCACAGTGTCTTAATAAAAAAAAAAAGAGATATTTTAGAATATCTCACATGTTTATAGTTTTATCAACTTTGATTCACTTATCTCAATCTCTCTCTTCTCTCTCTACCGTGCCATGCTCAAGTATCGAACCCATCAAACGATGCACATAACTGTGACTTCGCCTGACCAGGAGAGCTACAAGAGCTTGGCACCATTTTTTCATAACTAATTTATAAAACCTTACTAATTCTTTTTGGTCCACCATTTATCTATAGAGTAAAAAGATTAATTTGTGTACGTTGTCAAAAAACAAATGGGATTTGATTAGTCATTATAAACTAGGATTTAACTAGGAGATAGAGACAAAAAAAAGAGATATTTAGTAATACCTCATATGTTTATGTTTTATATAACACAATGCTCTCTCTTCTGCTGCGCTGCTTCGCGACTGGCTACTCTCTCTTTTGCCCAGCTCAAGCTTCGAACGTATCACACGTTGCACATTAGTGTGCCATCGCAGACCAGTGAGCTACAAGAGCCAGGCGCCTACGTTGCAACTTCTACCTTATATATAAAATTCTTGGTGACCTATAGTATATATTTTTGCTATTTTTAAATTTTTTTCCACAAAATTCAAGTTTAAGAGATTTGATTTCATTAACCATTTTATACCTAGATTTTGTTATGCAATTACGCTTCATTATGATAAATAATAGTTGTTGATTTAGATTTTCATGTTTAATCAATTTTTTTATCAGAAAAAATCCTAAATTTTGTCCAACTTTTACAATAATCAGCCACTCGAGAAAAATAACTTTTGAAAATATGACAAACAGTATGAAATAGTTAAGATAATGATATGATGTGCTCTTAAAACGACATTTAATGTTAGATTAGTAATCTAACTATAAATTTAGAGAATAAATTAGCATTTAAGTGTTATTTATATATAACTTGATTAAGTTAGTGTTTTTGTCTTATAAGTTGTGTTTTATCTATGGAATAAATGCTTGGAGCTCAAATAATTTATACAAAAAATTGAGATGTTATTAAATTTGTAAGGATGTATGAGATGTTACAATATAGAGTTGTTTATTTTGAGTTCTATCTATAAATCATACTCCATTGAATAAGCAACACTCATTTCATACAGATACCGAGTGATCATTTAATATAGTGTAAGAATATTTTTTAAAGTTTTTCTGATTTCAATTCTCAAATCTTTTTATTACAGTGTGACAGTGTCACATTAATTCACCAAATTATTACCAAATTTAGTTACTTGTCTGCTGCTAAGTTTCAAATTATTAATATTGTCCTGATAAAGATCTTATCCAATCCACACGTTTCGTTCTTCTTTCTTTATATTTCTCACTTTCAAGCTCAGAATAATATTCCTCTTTGATCTTTCAAAAAAATCTTCTTCAAATCTATCAATCTCGACGACGACCATTCTTGAGTGACCGTAGTTAGTACTGATCTTATAAGTCTTCTTCATCATCTTTGTTTATAATCTCTGTTCATATTCATTTTTACAGTTATCGTTTTTACAAAAAATTTAAAATTTCTTCTTGGGTTTCTCAAAATTTGTCGTTAATCGATGAATTTGTTTGTTTTCAAGATTACCCATTTCTGGAATTCACGAAATTTCTCAGCTTTTCCGTGATTTGTGGTGAAATTCGTAAACTTTCACAAAAAATTAGGGTTAGAAAAAGCTTCTTCATCACACACGATGAGCCATCACCGGCGAGATTCCGGCGGCGATGTAGTTCATGTGATACCCACGAACAATCCTCCGCCGGAGAATTGGTTTCCGAATCTCGGCGATAGTGCCGTTTGGGCGACGGAAGATGATTACAATCGAGCTTGGGCGGTGAATCCTGATAATGTCTCAGGGGATAACAATGGTCCGCCGAACAAGAAGACTCGAGGCTCTCCGTCGTCTTCGTCAGCCACTACTACTTCCGCCGCGAGCAATCGTACCAAAGCGATTGGGAAAATGTTCTTCAAGACGAAGCTTTGTTGTAAGTTTCGTGCTGGGACTTGTCCCTATGTGACGAATTGTAACTTCGCTCATACGGTGGAGGAGCTTCGTCGACCACCGCCGAATTGGCAGGAGATTGTGGCGGCTCATGAGGAGGAGAGATCTGGTGGTATGGGAACTCCTACTGTTGCTGTTCCTGAGGTTCCGCGAGAGGAGTTTCAGATCCCGTCTTTGGTGTCATCGACGGCTGAGAGTGGGAGATCTTTTAAAGGAAGACATTGTAAGAAGTTTTATACTGAAGAAGGATGTCCTTATGGAGAGAGTTGTACGTTTCTGCACGATGAGGCTTCGAGGAATAGAGAAAGCGTTGCGATTAGTTTAGGACCTGGTGGTTATGGAGGTGGTGGTGGTGGCGGTGGTGTTGGAAGTGGCGGTGGTTCTGCTAGTGGTGGTGGTGGTGGTGGCAATAGCAACGTAGTAGTGCTTGGTGGTGGTGGTGGAACCGGAAGTGGAAGTGGTATTCATATTGTGAAGCCTTCAAATTGGAAGACAAGGATTTGCAACAAATGGGAGATTACTGGGTATTGTCCGTTTGGTGCTAAGTGTCATTTTGCTCATGGAGCTGCAGGTAAAGATTCCGCCTTTTGTTTGATTTGTTTGCTTTTTGAATGCAATGGTTAGGACTGAAGATAAGAACTGGATTGAGTTCATAGGTCTCTAGTTGTTAGCCAAGTTGTTAGTGATGTATCGTATGTTTGTCTAAACTTTAAACCAGTGGTGCTTGATGAATGGGCTAAATGAAGTAAATATTGGACGCTGAAGCTCTAAGCTGAGTGACGATATGGTTTATCCCCAATGACTAGCTTTTTCGCTGACCCTGTCGGTTCTGTATTTTATTAAACTGTCTTCTTTGGGTTTTGTTGGTCTGTGGTTGCCATTTAGTCTAAGATGTTTGTTAGTAAGACAAACGAAGTTTTAGTCAATGGTGCTTCTTGGATGGACTAGTGAGAATGGTACTATAGGGTATAGAGGAGACTAAATAATGGATTGAGTGCTTGTATTAGTTCAGCTTGCTTGTGCAGTTCATTGTTTGGTCTGATATTGTAATGAAGCAGACGAGTTGTTGAATGTTAAGCTTATGGCTGAGTTATACGTTGCTTGAATTCTCGAAAGTTCGATAGCTAATCTAATCTTACATTTGTAAAAACGGAAACTTTATGTTAAATCTTTGATAGTCTCTAATGGGAAACAAATCCATAGAATTGTTGAACTTTATGACCTTAAATAGTTCCGTAGTCATGTTCTTTAAAGTTTGAGTCTTTATGATTCGCAGAGTTACATAGATTTGGCGGAGGACTCGTCGAAGGAGAAGGCAAAGACGGTGTATCACCGAATTCAGACACAAAGCAAACAGGACAAACCCCAAAAGGAAATTCAGAAACACCGACACTTCTATCTCCAGGAGGAGTTCCTCATCAAGCAGATCCCAGTTACCACAGTGGTGTCGCATTGCAACGAGCGACTAGTGCGGTTACACAAAAGCCTGGGATCAGAACTCATCAGAAGTGGAAAGGACCGGCGAAAATCAGTCGGATATACGGTGATTGGATCGATGATATTGAGTAAAGTTATCGCCTTTTGTTTTTTTAACATATCGGGTAGATAACTGGTAAGAAAATTACAAATCTCCTTTCTCTTAGTTTTCTGGTGATGGTGGTACAGTTTGTAGAGTTTTGTATCTGTGTAATCCTTGTATCTCTCTTTGTTGTTGTTATTGTTGTTGTAGATTGTGACTTTTCAGAAGTTGAAATATCATCTTTCTTTCTTTGTATCTTTCTTTCCCATGTTCTACCAATACCAAAACTGCACTCTTTGAACCGAACAGTATCTAACCAAATCATGTTTTGAGCTTTTAATTTTTAGAGGAGTTTACTAGTTTGTGACCAGAAGAAGACCTCAAAATGTAGAAAGTAAAATTATTATTATTATTGTTATTTTTAACTGGCTGTGAAGAAATAAATTAGAGACACCTAGCTTTTCTCACAAAAGACTCGCTCAAAAGTCAAAACACTAGGACCTTACCTTTCTCCTCATTTCTCTCCACCCCACTGACATTACCCTTCCCACACGGCAACCTCAGAATAAACCCTTTCTTCCCCAAACAACCTATGAAACCAGTCACAATATTTCTCATCCGACCGTTTCACTACACGGTCTCAAAATGTCTTTTGCCATGTCCAGCACAGAGAATTCCAAACCAGTCCACACCGTCGTTTCCTCTCCGGTCACCATAGTTTTGACCGGTAGTCTTCTCTTCATCATTTTCACTGGTTTCTTCTCCTTCTTCTTCTGTGGATGTTGTTTTAGGAAACTCATGAACCTTTGGAATCGTTATCGAAACCGAAACCGTCCTAGTAACCTAATCCAACCGTCTAATCAACCGGAAAACGCCGGTCTCGACTCCAAGATCATACAATCCTTCCCTGAGTATCCTTACTCGGTGAAGAATCATGGGACAGATCAATGTTCCATTTGTCTAACAGAGTTTATGGATGATGACACCATTAGGCTTATTTCTACTTGTAACCACTCCTTTCACACAATTTGCATTGATCTTTGGTTTGAAGGACACAAGACTTGCCCTGTATGCAGGCGTGAGCTTGATGTAGAAGACAGGACCTCGCTAGAAAAGCCGTTAGATGTTCCTGAAATCGATCTAGTTAGATCTGAAATCCACGACGAGCCTTTGTCCCGCGACACGGTGACAATCATCGTTCACGAGGAGATTCCAACTAGTACTAATATAGGTAGTTTAGAGCATACAGATGAAATGGAAAGCTATGAAAGACGAATGAAAGCATCGAATTTGCGGTTTTGGAGGTCGCATTCTACTGGACATTCTATAGTAGTTAAGGCAGAAAACGAACAAGAAGAAGATGAAGAGGAAAAAGATGAGATCAAGATACGTATTGAGATCTCTGGAGAATGTCAATTTGAAGATCACAAGATGACATTACCAAACAGGAAGCTGTATTGCGTTAGGGGAACTTACTCTGTAGGATAGAGAGACCCAAGAATGTGAATTTGGCTTGTGTTATACAACAACATTGGTCATCCAATTTTGTAGTTTTTGATACCATAGGTTATACAAATAGAATATGTTGAATATTGTTGTAATGTCTGTACTCAAATTTTCTTCCATACTGATATACACTATACTTGAAGTTGAATACAAAACCGGAGAATAATAACCATTAACCATCTTTATATATGTTTGTGAACCAAAATCGAATTCCGGTTTAATATGGGTGTCAATTTTGTGATAAACAGACTTTGGGGGTAAATGTGATAAAATTTGAGAGTTTAGTGGATGCGAAGAAGAGTTTTTGAATTTACAAGGTAAGACCTATATTTTCCCATTTGTTGAAAAAGAGAAGTGAACAAAACTAGACTTGGAGAAATGGCGACGGCATCGGAAAATTCAAGAGGAATCGGCGGAGGTGATCGAACGGCGAAAGCAATCGTCGCCGATCAGATCACACAAGCCGTTAATTCTACTGCCAACCTTCTCCATCTGATGCGTCAGTCTTCTTCTTCTCAGGTATATCTTCTTCAAACCCTTAATACTCGTGCTTGCATAGTCACCGATGAAGATCGTGCGATTGGATTATATACGATTTAGGGTTGAATAATTACAATTTTTGGTTAAAATTTTTGGAAATTTTCGAATCTGTGATCAAATTTTCATCCTTTCATGTGTTAATTTGCATCTTAGAGGTTGATTTGGTCTAAGTAGTGAAGTAGGGATGTAATTTTTTGTGACTTTGGCCACAAGTAGGCAAGTCAATCTTTTTTGTTCGTTCTAGGGATTGGTATGTTTGATTCTAGTCAAGCTGTTCTGTATATATTTTAGCCTGATTTTATTGCAATGTTGGTCTGATGAAGACCTTTAGGTTGATAGAAAAGGAGGAGTTGGTAAGTAGTTTTCAGACATTGATGCAATGGTTTTGTTGTTATTCGTAAAAGACGAATCCTTCTATATTGTTAGAAACTAGTTAGCTCCTCCTGTTTCATGTATGCTACAATGAAACACTGTGTGAGGTTGATAAAGAAGCATGTATAGAGATTTATTAGGATGAGCTTCAGATGTTTAATTCTCTAATTTGGAATATTGGCTAAGTGTAGGCACAGTTGGCAAAGCTACCGAAGAATCTGTTGGCGAAAACTTCACTGACTAAGGCAACTGGACAAGTATGTATGTTATGGTGTAGAAGAATCAAGAATGTAGTATGACATAAATAATGACTTGTGTCTTATGCATTTCCCCTTTTGTTAAGGCGTTGGCGCAGCTTCCTCAAGTGATTGCATCTCTGGACGCTCATATAGAAAGCGGATTGCACAGGTTTGTTTGATCTCCTTTGACGTGCAAGAATTACCCTATTTTTGAACAGCATCTAAATTTAATCATCAAAACTTGTATCACTTGGTGCTGAGTTATAATAGATAGCTTCAAGACCAATAACTGAGAAATGTGATGAGAGAATGCTCCCGGATAATCTCATGTTTGCAGCTGTTGTGTTCTAACTAACCCAAGTTTTCATTTCTCAATACAGCGGTGTTCATCTGAACACAGTAACCCAGTTACTTGAAAACATGGAAAGCACACAGCTTCGCGCTCTTCGACAATCTAATATTTCCCCAGCGGTATAAACTTTGCTCTCTTATCAGCTAGCAATTATTATGTTTCTTTCTTCTGCTACACTACTTCGGTCTCTTATAAGTGTGTCCGTTTGTTTCCATAGGACAATCAATCTCCAGCCCATTTGAAAATTCCAGACAAATGACAAGTAGTGATCTCCAAGATAGGCACATACGGCTTCTCCTACTTCGTTGTTCTTAATCTTCTTCAAAGGAACACACTTCCCTAATCTCCAACAAAGTTTCGTTTCCACAACAGAGAGAGATTTTATGGTGGCAACTTAGTTTTAAATTTAAGCTAGATTGCGACTTTCGATATCAGATTTAGTAGGCTTTGATTCTTCATGGCTTAAGACTGAAATCTCCAATGTTCTTGGTTATATACATAACACTATAAGAGGGCTGTGTTAACCAACTTTGTAAATTAGAAAAGTTTAACCGGGGTGTGTTAACCGGGAAAATGGTCAAAACCGAAATAATTCCGGTGTGTTAAAATAAAATTTTCACGTGAGTAAAAAATAAAGAAGCGGGAAAGGCCTCATAAGGGCAATGGCCACAATTCAGTACTCTCTACCTCAGTGAATCAATAGGGTTCCGATTTCGAGACGAATTGGTGTCGGTAACAAAGAAGACGTTCATCTTCTCCGGTGAGAGATAAATTCACGGTGGGGTTTCTTCTTCTGATTTCGAAGAAGCGATCTCGTTAGCTTTGTCTTTTCCGGTGTGGTTTTTGTATTTCACTAGGGTTTGCTCTGACCTTGCATCGTTTCTTGTGCTTGTTTTATATTCTTCTTCAGAACAACATAAAGTATCACTGCGAATATTGATACACTCATTGCTGTTTCTGTCTCTATTTTTCAGGTTTTCCTGTGTTTTGTAGAAGCTGAAACTTTTGGGAATAGAAAGTGTGATATAGCTCTAATGAATAGGTTAAGTCAGTTGCCTGAAGCGTTACTCTTGAGAATTTTGTCTTTACTGCCAGCGAAAGATGTCGTGGGGACGATGGTTTTGTCAAAGCATTGGCAGTTTCTTTGGATGTTGGTGCCAAAGCTTGTGTATGATGATAGCTACCAGGATGTTGAGTATGGAAGATTTTCGCGGTTTGTAGACAGGTCATTGACTCTGCACGAGGCACCAGTTCTAGATACTTTGCATTTAAAACTCGGTAAAACCTCCTGTGGTACTGGGGACATTAGAGTGTGGATTAAAGCAGTAGATAAGCGTTGTTTGCACGAGCTGATCATTGAGATTGATAGATCTACTAGTAAGAAATCTTCAGTGGTACTTCCGATGAGCTTGTACACCTGTTGTAGAATGCTTGTGACTTTGAAGCTAGATAACGCGGTTCTTGCGGATGCTACATCCTCGTTTTCTTTCCCATCCCTCAAGAACTTGAGTCTTGTATCCATGAAGTATCCAGGTGATGAGCTGGTCAAGATGTTTCTATCAAGTTGTCCTGTTCATGAAGATTTGGTTGTGAAACGATGCATAGATGACAATGTGACTATTTTTAATGTTAGCGTGTCTTCGTTGAAGTTTTTAGTCTTGCACAATAGTAATATACGCGATGTAGATGTCGATTCCGGGGTTGTGATTGATGCTCCTTCTTTGGAGTGCTTGGACATTTTTGATAATTGGGGTGAGTTTTGTGTCATTGAGAATAATATGACTAAGATTGTGGAGGCAGATGTTTGCTTTACTTATGCCCATGCCCAGCAGCTCATGGGTTCAATTTCTTCAGTCAAACGTCTCTATTTATGTATACCATCCTTTGAGGTAATATATGTTCTTAAACTACAAGTTGTTGTTTACTTGTTTCTATAGTTGTGGTATCTAAATATAAATTGATGGGTTTTTTAAGATCAAATTACTTACGTTCTCTCTTCTGCAGGATGCTTATCCTGTTGGTTTCCACAGTCTTGTACATTTAACGCTATGCACATGTGAGACAGAGTGGCTGAATCTACTCATGTGTATGCTCAGAGATTCCCCTAAATTACGAGCTCTCAAACTTGTTCAGGTCTGCAGATCTGAACCTGAAGTTATTTATTCAGTTTCTTTGATCAGAATATACTTCAGTACAATAATAGTATGATGCTTCTTTACTTTTTATCTCAGACCCATTCTCGTCAATCTCCTGAATCACGGCCGTGCTGGAGTGAAACCAGTGCAGTTCCTGAATGTCTGTTGACAAGTCTTAAAACTCTCGAATGGGTAGACTATGAAGGAACAGAAGAAGAGAAAGAAGTAGTAGCATTCATCTTAAGAAGTGGAAGCTGTTTAAAGAAGGTAACTATTTCCTCTGAATCCACTGACCGCGAGAAGAAATTCGAGATGCTCAAGGAGTTATCATTGTTTTCTAGGCGTTCACCTTCATGTCAGATTGCATTTGACTGAAGTTTAGCTCTTCTTGTTCAATAGTCTAGTTGGTTTGTGTTTGATCCGAATCTTATAGATGTTTGAAGTGCTTTGATCTTGTGTTTTCTGCATAGTCCATTTGAATAGTTTCACGCAAATGACAAAAAAAAATAAACTTCTTTGTGTTACAAGTCTCTCTAATAAATACTCTTTATCTTTCTAGACCCAAAATCCACTTGTGTGCATATATGCTCAATTTGACGTGTTTTAAACAAGCATTTCGGCCATCTCTAAGATATTTCGTAGTGTTCCTGAAGAAGTCTCTGTGAGTTGTGACTCTTTTTAATTGTGGACTAGAAAATAGAATAATGAGTTGAGAAAAAAATTCAGAATAGAGTTACAGCATTTTAGCATGGAACAGGGACTTGTGGGTTCCTGATCTCCCAAGGAATTCAAGATATGGAACAAGCTATTAATCCAGAGTACTTGAAAAGTATTTTTTGTGGACAACGCTTCTTACACTTAGAGCAAATAGGTCGAGACATATGATGATTGTTGCTCAAAACATGTACCGCCTTATAGATCAACGATGAACCCGGCTTTAGGTATAAGTCTTTCCCAAGCATACATGTAATGTGTAGAGTGACACAACAATTCTCATCACACATATAAAACCCTTCTTTCAGATTTATTTTTCCCTCGCAAGCTTCACACCAATACGCCATGTTACTTGTTTCATCTCCATAAGTTAGAGAGAGCATATGCTTATCGTGCTTATACCTCACAGCTTGAGGTAAAGAAGCACATCCATAACACAAAGAAAAGTAGCACTCCTCATCAATGCAATTGAACGTTTGTCTTGTGTTCGACTGCCTTGAACCTCGGCAAACATAGCATCCTCGATCCTCTCTTGCTTTGGATGTTAGGAATAAAAGGTGCATATGGTTTTCACGGATTAATGGCTCAGAAATAGCGCTACACTGCACATGTAGCTGAAAATAACATCCTTCTTCATTGCACTCATAGACAAAACCAGTTGTGCAAAACCAAGGACAAGCTGAACATGCTCTTTCAGTATCCTTCACAACACCTTCATAGTTCACTAAAGTAAGCAGATGTGGGTGTATAGGATGATGCATCTTGCGAGAAAAATTTGCACATGTTTGGTGGAGAATATAATCACACTGCATACAAGAATAGAAGTTACCGAAATAGATTGGTGTGATGCATGCTTGACACAACTTATTCTCGTCGTAATCTCTGTCCGTGTTCTCATCAAGTCTTAAATGATGATGTTCATGACTGAAATGTTGTATGATTCCATTGCTTATCCTCACAAACGGCTCAACGTCTTCTTCAACTTCTTCTGGTTCTCCCTCAAGTTCTTTACCATCCCACACATTTCTTTGTGTACCGCATCTTGAATGTGTTGCATACAAACAACCATCCTTGATGCAAGAATAGCCCCCATAGTCATTGTCGATACTTCGACGACAAATAGCACAATACAAATCTCCCTGGTCAAAAGAAGTTGTAAAAGAGATACGATGGGGATGGCGAGATATCCTTATCACCTGTGGTAAGTTGAAACACCTTTGATGGACAGCAAAGTCGCATGGGGGACATATGTAGAGGGGACCTTTTGAATGTCTCAAGGCACAGACGCTGCAAGTAAAAGGAGTTTGTGTTGGGAAGAGAGAAAGAGTATGCCTATGCCACTTCATATGGTCAACAGACAAGTCTGGTTGTTTCTGCACACAAGTAAACCTAATAGCAAAATCGCAAGCCCAGCAATAATAAAATGTCTCATCGAGATGTTTATAACAACAATAGCATTTCCTCGACGAGAGAGATTATTTCAGTAATGTGTGATCTGATCTCCGAATCTTCTGGATGTTCACAACGCATATATTTGAAATAAGATAACATGTCATCAATGAGTAACATGAACTCCGGCTCCGACTCCAACTCCAGCTTCTTTGGACCAAGACCAGATTCTACAGAACTGATGAGAGACATCATTTCCGTCGCCAGAGAACCCAACCACAGCGAATCCGGATCCGAGTCAGAATCAGAGCTGCCCAGGGATATTGCCGTCTTAATGAGTGACATGAATTGTGACTCCGGCTTCGGTTGTGAATCCAAATCCATTGAGCCGACCAGAACGAACAGTTGAATAACGAATGGTGCAAACTTTGATTTCGTCTCCCACTTCCTATCATTTTCAAGTGATAAGACATATATCAATTGAGAAATGACAAACATGAGCTCCGACTCCGAATCCAAATCTGAATCCATAGAGAGCTGCCGCCCGAAAGAGAGAGTATTTGAGTCGTATGATAGATTATGTAAGTAATGTGTATAAGAATCGTACTCCTTGTCCTTGCATGAGACAATTTTGTTTGTATATATATAGTTGCTTGCGGATCTCACATTTACAGCCTTTCCCTATACAACAAAGTCAACCATCGATTTAAAGATTAATTCTTATTAATTACAAAATCACCAGTACAATATTGCAATTTGCATGGTCGTCCATAGGCAAAGTCGATGATGAACGTAAAGATAAGAGATTAACCTGTTTTTGTGCGCCTTTGAACAAGTACAACTACATATCTTTGGGAAATATGATGCATATATCATAAAAAATCTGTTTCTCAAAGATATGCATATACATATATACTTTCATGAAGATTTTATGTAACATCTCCTTTTTTTATATTAATTATAATTACAATAAAATGAAACAATTAATAATTTAATTATAGAATAAGAGTATATCAGATTTTTACTTTTTGAAAGATAATTTATGTGTGTGCAAAAATGATAAATCCTTCAACTTCTTCTTTGAGATACAATACGTTAATACTCTCATCTTTCTAGACCCAAAATTCACTTATGTGACTAAAAGATATGCTCAGTTTGACGTGTCTCAAATACAAGCCTTTTGTAAGTTGTAACCTTTTTTAAAAAAGAAAATAGGAGAAGAATCACATCTTCGCTAGCTTTTCCATTTTCAAGACTTGTCCTTTTTTTATAAAATGTGCACTTTTCAATTGTTTCAATGGGCAATGTTAATGATGTGACTCAACCTATATGTATAGCCGAAAGAACCCAAAATACGACCGAGTGGTCTACTTTGTTCTATTTCTCTTTTCTTTTTAGAAATTCTAATGTTCATAATTAGTGTGGTGGCTTGTGGAATCCTAAAGTGGCATGAAAATTGCTTATAACAAGTGGGGACATTTAGGAATCAAAAGACGTAGGAGATTCTTTACAATTTGTGTTTGAACTTTTCGATAAGAGTTGTACTTTTTTTTTTTTTTACATTCTATCAATATTTCAATACACCTTTTTTTAATAAAATGGTAACCATTTAGTGGACTTAGAATTAATGACAAATAATCCAATCTCTTTAAATTTGTAATATGTTTTAATTTAATGGCATATTTAAGAAAATTAAATTTAAATTTAACATAAAACTAACATAAATCTTTTGATCAATATCAAATATATGAATATAAACCCATTAATTTAACATAAATCTTTTGATCAACATCAAATATTTGAGTATATCCCATTAGATTTAAATTCAGTAAAACCATTTGTATACAATATTTTATAGTAATATTTACAAGAAAGTTTATAAATATAAAAATTCCAAGTTAAAAGATAGTCAAATGTATTTTCTCGAATACTAAAAAAAAATATGGAAAAATAAGAAAAGAAAGGAAAAAACAATTTCTCTTTTTTTTTTACTCCTTTAATAATAATATAGTCCCTACCTGACACGTAAGCTGATAGGTACAAGCAGAGACGATTTAGCCATCAAACAAAACGACAACGTTTGCAAGATACGATTCAGCCATCAACCAAAAAACGACGCCGTTAGTCAATATTTATTTAATTTAATTTTGTTTGTCCAACAAAAACATTAAATTGAAAAATTCCAAATATCGAGAAAGAGAGAAGACCCTCGCCGCACCGCTTGAGAGTCACTCTGATTCCTCTCCCCGGAGAAGAAACCAAATCCACGATTTGCTTCTTCTTCTTCGGTTCTCAGTACGATTTTGAAAACCCTAATTCATATTCTCCGTCGATTAGTTCACGTCTCTATCGGGATTTTTTAACGGTGAGGATTCTAATATTGCCGTGAACGTATTCAGGTGTCTCCGACGTATTATTTTTTTGATATAATAATGGCGTCGTTGGCTCTGACTTCTCCTCCCGCCGTTAAGATTCCTTCGTATCTGTCGTCGTCGTCTTCGTCTTTCTTCTCTCCTTCCTCGATTTTGTTCAGGAACACTGAGTCTCGCTCCCGCATCTCCGTTTCTGGTTACGCGGTGAGCAGTTTTTTTAATGTATTTATTGTAAATTTTGGTTGAATCTATGCTTTGTTCTGTGATATGTTTTTTGATTGAGTAGATGAGTTTTATTGGCTAATTACGTGAGAATTTGTGTGTTGAATGCTTCATGAGCAGTATTGGTTTGACTCTGGAATTTTTGGTATTTGTGTGTTGAATGCTGCATGAATGTGACTGTGGAAATTGGAAACTCTATATGGATGTTGTGGTTGAGATTTGTGTTCTAACGTTGTGAATTTGGTTTCGTAATGCCATTTGTTTTGTGTCTAGAAATGCAATTTGCCTAAGGCGTTGAATGGGAACGCTCGTGTTCCGATTATCAATGAGACGACGATTCCAAAGTTCTTTGATTCTTCCCGGTTGGAGAAATCAGTCAGTGGAAACAATACCAAGCTCAAGTTGTTCTCTGGTACTGCTAATCCAGCTCTTTCTCAGGTAGTTTTCTCGAAGACCTTTTCGTCAGTTTTGTTAATTGAGGTGTCTTATCGTGAAGTATTTGCTAAATTCTTGGAAATTTGTGAAGGAAATTGCCTGGTATATGGGACTGGAGCTTGGGAAGGTTAGCATAAAGAGGTTTGCTGATGGAGAGATCTATGTTCAGCTGAAAGAGAGTGTTAGAGGTTGTGACGTGTTTTTGGTGCAGCCTACTTGCACTCCAACAAATGAGAATCTCATGGAGCTATTGATCATGGTTGATGCTTGCCGAAGAGCATCAGCTAAGAAAGTAACAGCTGTGATTCCGTATTTTGGATATGCAAGAGCTGATAGAAAGGTAGTTCTTTTTGTGATGCATGATCAGGTTTATTCGTTATCATAACGGTAAATGCAGTACTTAGTCTAGAAATTTCATCTTATGTTGTATTGATGCTTATAGACACAAGGGCGTGAATCCATTGCTGCCAAGCTGGTTGCAAACCTAATTACTGAAGCTGGTGCTGATCGGGTTCTTGCATGTGATCTTCATTCAGGACAGTCCATGGGTTATTTTGACATACCGGTGGACCATGTGTATTGCCAGGTACCTCCAATTTCAAAGTTCTTTTTTTGAGAGATAGGTTTCTCCCTTTTGGAAATCTTACCCAAACCCTGTCAATATTTCAGCCTGTGATACTTGATTATCTTGCTAGCAAGTCAATTTCCTCAGAGGATTTGGTAGTGGTATCTCCTGATGTTGGTGGAGTAGCCAGGGCACGTGCATTTGCTAAGAAATTATCTGATGCGCCACTCGCCATTGTCGATAAAAGGCGTCATGGTCACAATGTTGCGGAGGTAATATGTCAAATTTACCCCGTTCTTTTCTTTTCTAAATTACTCAGTTTCTTGCCATCAAGTAAGTGCTCACATGTGTTAATAATACGTTTTCCCACAGGTCATGAACCTAATTGGTGATGTTAAAGGGAAAGTGGCAGTAATGGTGGATGACATGATTGATACTGCTGGTTAGTTAAAACTCTCAGATTCTGTGAACATGTTTGTTACCAAATATCAACAAAAGATGCCAACAACAGTCTCTAAAAAGTAGTTCTCATATGCAGGCCGAAAAAAACACTTTTAAGTCCATAGCCAAGATATTGCTAAACAGAGAAGATTTCATTATCTGTAGACACAAAACAACATAGCTAACAACCATTTTTTTCTATTTGAAGGAACCATTGTGAAAGGAGCAGCTCTTTTACATGAGGAGGGTGCACGTGAGGTTTACGCTTGCTGCACGCACGCTGTTTTCAGGTTTAACCCAATAGCTCGATTTCACCACGCCTTTTCTCCCTTCTTTTTAGATAAACATCTGATGAGAGACTGTTGTTTGCTTAAATGAATCAATGTGACAGTCCACCTGCGATAGAGCGGTTGTCGAGTGGTTTGCTGCAAGAAGTGATAGTGACGAACACTTTACCTGTAGCGGAGAAGAATTACTTCCCGCAGTTAACGATTCTATCGGTGGCTAATCTTCTGGGTGAGACAATTTGGCGTGTCCATGATGATAGCTCCGTTAGTAGCATTTTCCTTTGATACTTGTTAGTTTTTGTTAATCGATTTTGATGTTCGTTTTTAGGATCGGTTTAAATTCCTACTTCTACTTCTTCTTCTTCACAGTTACTACTAGTCTAACCATGTTTTGCTTCTCCTTCTCACCCAAACTTCATCACTCGTCTGAGTTCTACCTTTTCTTCTTTATAGTTTAGAGTTATCAATAATATTAAAAAATTTCATATTTTGATTTATTCCTAACAGTTACATCTCGGCTTAAATATTATGTAAGCCCAAAACGAACTCCATTCTCAACTTAAAATTTTTTGTAAAGTTGGGTTGTCAGAAGCGGCTGCTTCATTTCCCCTAATGTGTGCACTGATGTTGGCTTACTAAAAGACGTCCCTAATGACATCCTAAGAGACATATATGCCAGTGGAATATCTCTTAATAACGTCCTCCATGGTTAATATCTCTCTCGTCATCCTTACGCCTTGATTCCTACAGACTACAGTAATGAATTTAGTGACTCTCAAGGCCTTTACGACAGAGTTATTGTTACATCATGATCGATACATATTTGTCATTGTCTCTCTAACTAAACAACCTCTTTACCAAAATGCAGAAGTTGTACTATTTGCCTGCGAATGCTTGGTTTTCTCGTCATGAGAATGCTCCATAGCTTATAGCTAGCTACTACCATGGTGACGTTGAGATTTTTTTATGGCGGTGTAAAACGCAAACAAACTTAGCAGCAAAAAAAACATTAAAATAAAAAGCTGCGTCTATTTTTGTAAGACTTAAACAGGCCCATAAATTTGGCCCATTAGATTATATGTTAAACCCATTAATTTTTATTGAATGGAAAATTATAACATTAGGGTTTTCTCAAAGCTCTCCCCTCTGTTTTAGCATATAAATTAGTCTTTACATCGCCGCTTGAAACAGATAAGTTTCTTCTTCATCTTCGTCTCTCTCTCTAGTTGCTTGGTTACATAGTTTGATTTGCTTTTTTTTTGTTTTATTCAAAATCGTTTCTTGGAAGATTTTGAGTAGTGTGTAGGTTACTGTGATGAATATAGATCGGTTTGATTTTGGTTTTGTGTTAGTAAATTTGGAGGTGGTCGAAGTGATGATAAAGAATTCACAGTCTGTCAATCCACTGACAACATTTGAGTGATGTTATTGTGATATCTCGACAGGTTCTGATCGACCCACCTGAAAAAAAAAACGATTTTTGTAGATTTTCAAAACTGTTTTTGTTGTGTGTATTGGTTGGATTTGGTTTGGGGGGGCAAATGATGAATAAAAGAAAACAAATGGGTAATTTGCGACTGATCCATTACATTGATGTGTCTTTTTCACCTTGGAGAACTGATGTCCCCTAATAGAGTTATGAATTAGTTTTAGGAGTTTTGATTAGTGTCTTTGTAATAGCAAAAAAGCCAATTAGCAGAGCAAGGGCGTCTAAGTTAAAATGACGTGCATTTGCCTTGAAGGTTGGCGATAACAAGTTTTTTGCGATTCTCCGTGCCTATCAAACTTGTTAGTATTGATAATGGCCTCGAACAAGTCGCTACATTCATTTTCAAGAACAAGTCCCGATTATAACATAACCTAACCAATCTCTTTGACCAGTGCTATAGATCGAGATTGTAGTTTTGGTACCATATGCGAATAGTGTGATAAGATGGGTTGTTTTGGAGCCTAATGTTTTCTACTGACGATGCTAATCAGATTTTGGAAAAAGTTTGTTATTATGAATAGCCTAACCAATTCTGTGTTCAATTAAGCCAATTCATAATAACAAACTTTGTATGTAAATCGGAAACTAAGACCATTGGTGATATCTTAGCTTAAGATACTACCAGTAGCCTAAGTATAGGGACTATTAGATGAAATTGTTGTTTGGTTGAAATGCAACCTAAGAGAATGATGATTTGTAAACCGCAATAGTTGTTTGGTTAACTTTAAAGTCGCAACCGCTTGTTTGTAAACCGTGAATGGCATCAATACGGACCGGCTAAATGTGTAATATAAATTCTGTTGTTCGTATAAAATAATATTTTCAACATAAATTTGTCTTCTCGTTTCACTTGACATTTATCTAGTTAAAATGTAGCCGTCAAATTTTCTACAAAATCAGCTCGTTTAGAACACTATAAAATTGTTAATAATGTTTATAGAAACGTATTTTTGCTATATTGAACACCTAAAATCAAATTGTCAAAGCATGATAAAATTCAGTAATTTTATTCTGTTGTGCCAAATTGGATAAAACCTATTGTTGATTTAGAACTGTGTAACAATTAATTGAGGAATGAAAAGTTGTTGTTGAGCCAAAAAAAAAAAAAAAATTTGTCAAAGCATGAAAAATTTCAGTAATTTTCATCTAGAGAAAAGAACACTATCTTTATTGAACTTATATTATGTAATTTAGTGAAAAATTTTGTAAGATTTTGGTTATATTTGACTCTTTTCTTTTGGAAATACGATACATACTATATATTTTATGGGATACATAAAATTACAAAATTGAGAGAACTCAATCATAATTGATAAGATCTTAAATTTTGATATTTGTTTCCCTCCATCTAATTGACATATCTAGTTAATAAAAATAATATGAAGTGTTGCCTTCAATTTTTCTATAGGAATCAGCTTTATTTGCAAAGACTATCAAATTTAAATTAATTTTCATATAAATGTGGAGAAAATTATCTATATACAACTTATATAATTTCGTAAAGATATATGTAAATTTTCATTGTCTTTTAACTCTTTAACAAGAAAATTATTGATTTATGTAAATTTTCATTATATGTTGTATTTAACTATTTTAAAAGAAGCATTTATGATACATACTATATTGAAGTGAGAGAAAAAAAAATCAAATCCGAACTAGCAAATGAAAAATTGTGATCTAATTAAAGTTGAGAAGTATAAAGGTAGGAAACCATCACATATTATAAATCTTGTTGTTAGATACGTTCAATAAGCGTTAGCTAATACATTCTATGCGTGAAGTAAATCACGGCAAAATAAATGATATTTCTTATAAAGGGATTGAAACTAATACTCAAAAATATACATAAACTTACAAAATTGAGAGCACTAAATCATAGTTGATAAGAACAACTTAATTTTAGTTGATTCAACAAATTTTGTTGAAAAGAATGTTTTTAAATTTTGTACAAAAAATGTCAAATGGTTTCTATGTATCAATGATTATGCTTTTTATACATCAAAATAACTCTATGCTATCTAAGTTGACATCATTAAATTTAACAAACAAGGTTATCATTAAAACAAAATTTTCAAACAACTTACTTAAGTTTCTTTTATGATTAACTTTTTCTTGAGAAATATGCAAAAAATATGAAAATTCACCTAATTTTTGGAGGGTCGTAAAAGCAAAAATAAACTACATTTAGCCATAATATTTTTTAAAAGTTTTTGGTAAATCGATTTATTTTCCATGGTGACCAATTTGCCTTAACATCCCAATCACCTATAACATCAAAGTATCTTTATAGCAATTGGACAAGTAGATTTGTATATGTTAAAAGCATTTGTTTTTTTAATATTAAGTTATTAACTAATATGAATTATTTTCTTGAACTAACATATTATTGAAGACATTTTGATGATGAAGATTGTGATGCTACAAAAAATAAAAAAATAGCTTAGGAGTTAGGTTTTTAACACATGTAACAAGTTCTCGTTAAAAATATCTGAACTTTGTTCAAAGTCACGAGTCACTGAGATGTGATTATAAAAAATATAGAACTCTTTCTAACATGTCTCTGTAAGAACGTTGAGTTGTTACCCATCTCAAATCGTTGGTTTCCAACATTTACTTATACTGTGTGGAAACCTCAGGAATGTGTAATTTGAAAATTGTATCATCAAGAGAGGTTACTACTTTTACTATCTAATCGGTTACTTGGAACCCCCGCAACAAACCTAAGAACTCTTGATGTAATGCAATCAAACAGAAGTTCTACACATGAACTGCTGCATAAACACTCATCATATTCACAAAACTCAATGACCCAATAACATTTTACAAATACTATCTTAAAGCTTCGAATGCGAATCAAAGTTTCATCAAAGAGGATGGAGAAAATAAAAAGCAACCAAGAGGAATAGCGAAGATTTCTAATCAGGACAGAGTAATGATGAAATTGCAGAGAAGCTGCCATGTGAGGATCTCTGAGCAGAGCAAGCCTTATGTATCTTCATACCCAACTTTCTCATATGGATGTTAGAGTTTCTAGAATATGACATAATCAGCCTTATTGGCTATGGTCTAATAATGTATAACAAGCGAAATTTCTGGCATATAGATTAGAAAGAATGTGGAACATGAAGCGATTGAATTTCATATATAAGGAGAAACATAGGACTGAATCAGACAGAACCACAATGAATATTCATAATGGTAAATCCTTACAAAGACTACACAGACACAACAAATGAGTTTTGAGACCGTGACTAGGTTGATTAGAAGATCTCCTATGCTAGAGTCATCATCAACCCAGAAACAAGAACCCCTAATTTAACTGACACTCTTGATTTGTTACACATAGGAAAAAGTAAAACAGGAAAAGAGAATTGACTGAACTCTTCAAGACTTTTAAAAATGGACTCACATTATGGTGCATCGGCCCTTTTCTTCGTTTGGTTGCGCTGGCATTTGCTGGAACCGATGTGACTCAGAGGGATTGTATGTGAACTCAGATGTGTCAAGCCCATACTGTTTCAACAAAGAAATACCATTAGTGAATCTCGGTATCGTGTTAATGCTTTTTTTCTTCTCATTGCAGCACATTTTAATCATGTTACCTTTTCCCTCATACGTGCACTCCATGGGTCACTGCGGCTCGGGCGCTGGTCCAAAGTAGGAGCAACTGGCACACCGGTGACAGGGGTGGCTTGGCGGTTGATGAATGGCTGCCTGATCTGTTGTCTTGGAGCAATAAACTCATCATCACTGTCATACTCTGGTGGTGAATTAGCTGACCTAACCATAAGGGCAAGCAAGAAGAGCAAAGCCTGCAAGTACACAAGACAGCATTTAGAGTTTTCATAGGTGACATGTTTCTATCACCATTTTCTTCTTTGTTCGTTTGAGTAGTTTATTTAATATAATCATACACAACAGTCTATAAGCACCTCCCAGGACAATATGATTTTTCATGACAGTTCGCAGACAAGTCTATTAACCAGTGTTCAGCCTTAATCTTTATAACTGAACAACGTTAAGGGAAAAAAATATCAAAAGTTCTCAAAGTTTGCTTGCTCTTACCTCAAAAACAACTGCTCCTAGAGCTACCCATCTTACAATCATCCAATTCTCCTGCAGGAAGTTATATATTGTCTCGAAGTTTCCAGTCCTGTCCGAAGGAATTTCCTAGAACAACATTTATACAAAATGGTTAGCTACGTACTAGAATAGTCCTGTCTTCTGATCATGTCTAAGTTATGATGCCAACCCACACAGAAATAAAGAACTCACCTCTCTCCAGCTGTGGTCGAAGAATATAAATGCTGCGACTCCAAGCTCCACCAAGATCAATAAGATCAGAAGCAGTGAGTACTATTCTCAATTAAGGAAATAGGACGTTAAGATTTTTAATTTGCCAAAGGATCCTATCATAACAAGGAAGCATATACTAAAGTTTAAGGCACCAGAACTATAACGCAAGGTCCTAATACTATAATTCCACAAGTCCTTATCGAAAACGTAATATTGGATAAGAAAGAGAAAAGCAAATTCATCAATCAGGAGGATACACAAGATAAGCAGCAGACACTCCTCGAACAAGTACCAACGCAGCCACAGCATGAAATAACAAACAAAGCCACACCAATACCAATGAACAAGTATATGAACCTGCAATTTAACAAGATAAAACAAAAACCAAAGAATCAACAGAACACATTATAAACAAGAAGCAAAACAAAACCAACATAATAAGCTAGTAAAAAAGACAGTAACCAGTAGGGACACACAACATACCAGGCTTTAGGAAGATTGTCAAACACATTAGAAGACATTGCAACAGCCATAAGCATCGGCCTCCCAAACGACACGAAACTTTGATCTCCATTTACGGGATCGAACGTAACGGAGTTATCGGTAGCTCTCTTGTACTCAACGAATAAGTAGATACCGTAACCAATCATGCCAAGTCCAACAACAGCTAGAAGGAAGTTGAGTAACTTCAACAAACACTCCAAACAACCTCTACACGCCATTTTTAACTTAACTGCTAAAAGGGTTGACTCAAATGTTCTCCCTTTAATACATCAGTCTGAAGTACTTGTCCTAAAAACACAATCACACAAACAAAACAAGATCAATCAATTGACTTATACACGAAACTAGAAATGAAGATATTTGATATTGTTATACCCCAAATTCAATTTGACTATATACACAAAACAAAATCAATATTCTTTAATCGATATAAGAAACGATCGAATCACATCGAGTAAAATCTTAAGGTAAGCTTGGACTACTGGGAAAATGATTCCACGAAACTTTTATTTTCCCGTAAAATCAAAGAACGAAGAAGTTCAGATCGGGACAGCAAAATCAAAATCACGCAATTGAATTCAAATTCGAAGCAAGAGAATGAAACTTACAGAGAATTGATTGAGATGATTCGTCGATCCTCGCGATGATTTTTAACTTTTTGTTTTCTTGGTTCTTGTCTTCGTTGAGGGGAAGGGGATGATGAAATCGAAGGACGGGGAAAAAATTTGGATATTTTTTTAATTATTTTTTGTTTTGTTTGGAGTTTTGCTGTAATGTAATGCCAGCTGGCAATTTAAATTTTAAGAAGGACTGAGAAAATAAAAGAGAAAGGCCGTTTTTAGGCTTTTTTTTTTTTTTTACAAGAGCCCAACTACGACTACGTGTCGTTTGAGTTGTGAGTTTACAAATTATTATTTTCCTTTTTGTCGGCAATTAAATATTAGTTTTTGTGTGGAATAGAATGTGTACTTTACTGTGTTCTAAAAACACTGAAAAATCTTGTATTGTTGTTTCTTCTTTTTTTTTGTAATTTTACTAAATGTAAACCCAAACTTATATTTATTTGTGAACATGTGGTTCTCTGTATATCATTATCAAAGATTTGAAGTATTTTACTATATAACTAAATCAGATATTTTTTCCGGTTTCTAAATTTCTATAAAATTAATTTCAAAACACGTTTTTAGAGATTTTTGTTTTGCGGATTCATCATCTGTTGCTGATATATATTAACACATTACTTCGGAATATTTTTGTAAAATTTGAAAAATAGATTATATTTGATGTAGTTAATAGTTATAGTATATGAACATTTTTTGCCTGTTACATAAATTTAACGTATTTCTATTTATATATTTAATTACGTTAAAAATGTGAATTTTCTTTTATGTTCACATACCAATATGTATGCTACAAATATTGCTCCAACAAATTTTTATAGTTTGAAATTTCAATTATATATATATATGCCTTAAAATTTAATTAATTTTCTTGAATAGTAATTTTCAAAATAAAACTGTCTGAAATATATGTAAGTACACTGATGAAAAAATCTGTAGATATTCTAATGAATGTAGGCATTTTAATTAAATAGGTAGAGAAGTTATCTGCAAACAACACATTAGTATGACACTTAAGAGTAAGTTTTTTTTAAAGTGTTTCTCCATATATAAGGGATGATAAATTTTTATGAGATAGTAGGAATCTTTGTTTTTTCTAAGTTTTCATTACATTTGATGTTTTAGAAAACATTAACAATTTATGAAACTAAAAGAAAAGACAACACAAAAAAAAAACATAATTAGTTGAATATAAAAGAAAAGAAACATAACACCACAACAACATAACAAATTATATATTAACGAAGTATAGATCATTTGTCATTTTCGCAGTATCTCTACTCTAGCTTCTTGCATCAAGTTCATCACATAACTTTTCATAGAGTCCTTCAAACTTCTCCAAAAATTGTTTATTCTCTTCTTGATCTTTCTTCTCCATTAGATGTTCTTTCCACCACGTATCTTTTGAAAATAGTTCCACAGACGCAACTGTCTTCATCGTTTTCATTTCATCAGCACGTGCCAGCTCCACCATATTATTGTACGATGTGCAAAACTCTTGAACTATCTCTTTATAGTGAGCATCAAGGATCGATTGTTGCAAAGAAGAAGACGATGAGGAGGCTTAGCCATTGAGAAACCGCTCTGCAACTGCTTGGAAGGACGGACTGCCAAATGTATATGGCTTTCCAGAGCTAGTGTACCCGAGAAATGCGACGTTGGCACCACATAGAACCGATATCTCACAGAGCTTAGTGTAAATACTATTTCTACGCTTCGACAATGTGACCAATCTGTCTTCATATCTGTCAATCTTCTTTATCATAATCTTTTGCTTTCCTTTTGTTTTCTTAAAACTCATGTTGGAAAAAGCAAAATATGAGTTTTTTTTACTCAAAAGAAAAATTAATGAACATCTATTTTTTAAGCAATTATATTTTATGTTTTTTTCAGGAATGTGTGTTTGTGAAAATAAGGTGTGGTTATATATATACAAAATAAGGGTGGTGCTGATTAGACTACATTAAATTAGTCAAATGTTAGATTTGTGGTATTAATCAATGCTTATATTAAATGCTAATATTAATGTTTGCAACTTTGAACTTATGGCAATCAAGATTTAGCACAAGATACATAATAAACCTTAACACTCATACCAAAAAGAAATAAAAAAAAAATATTTAAAATTTGAACAAAATATGATAAACATAACATTAATATTGTGTTTAGTAGTTCAAACAATTTTTTTGGTCTTAATGTTAAGTTTATTGTATCTACAATTTTTTTGGAATTAATGTTAAGTTTATTATATCTTGCGGTAAATCTTGACCGCCACAAGTGCAAAGGGTGCAAAATAGTAATATAATCTTATCCTAAATATGAAATGACATTAAAACACCGTTAATTTCTTACCCTAAAATGAGTTTGACAAAAATTCACATTTTTTAAACAATGAGTTTGAGAAAAATTATAGAAAAATAAAAAGTAACTAAAAAGAAAAAAATATCAAGTAATATATTTATATTATTTTTAATTCATAATTCAAAATACCAACTTATGAAATTATGGTCCGCTTTTATTAAAAAAATTAATATCTTAAAAATATATTTTACATAATTGTAATTGAGTATTTTTTATACGAATAAACTAGAAACTTTTGCTGGTTTTTGGTATCGATGAAACTTAAATCTATTTAATAATCTAAGAAATATATTATGAACTACGTTTTTAGATATTTTGTTTTGTGGAGTTAGATCCTGTGTTGCTCATAACACATTACAGTATAACCTCTATAAATTAACACTCTCTATAAATTAATAATTTTCTCCGGTCCCAAGTTGGGACCAGTCTAATTTTAGAAATATTTGATAAAATAATAAAATAATAGCTTTTTCAAAAATCCTTTGTAAATATATAGTCCCATCAATATTATAAATTAATAATAAGGTAAAAGTTTCAAAATATATGTATATATAGACACATTAGTTTTTGTGAGAGTTTATTTTTAAATACTTTTTTGAAAAACTTTCCAAATTAGGAAAATTTCTCTATAAATTAATAATTTATCGATAAATTAAAACCTTTATAAATTAATAGAGGTTTTACTGTACTTTGGAAAATTTCGATAAAATTTATAAATTCTGATAAAATAATTTTTCCTTGGAAAAATTTATTCGTATACCACAGGTAGATTGCTAACGAAAAAAAAATCCAATGTACGTACAATAACTACATTCGGAATTTTGGTTCGGACAGAACTGGTCCGAATAAAATACCCAACACGTGGCCAGTCCATCTTGAAAAGTTTTACGGTGCGCTCGACCACAGCTGATAGAAGTTCCGATTTTACAGAGAAAAAAAAAACCAAAAAACAGAATTGTTTTACCTTACGATGATTAATGTCTGAATTTTTTTTTGATATTTGAAGGGAATCAAACAACACAGTCGGGTTGAGGAAAAAAAAAACAACACAGTCGGGTTCGTGGAGATCGTCAAAGGGTTTATTTCGTTAACGTAGAAATTCTTGAAATTGTCGTTAGCGTAAATCTAACCTTAGTCCTGTGGTATGATTCTTAATCTCGAAATTCTTGAAATTTTCGCTGTTGTTGTTGTTGTTGTTGTTGTGATGACTTTCTTCCTTTTTATTCTTACGAACTTCGGATCCGTGTGAAACTTGATTTTAACTATTGGGGTTTGGATTCAGTCTAAATTGTTGAGTTTGGACAGCTTTTGTAGTAATCGAGAACACAAAAATCGATATTTCTGCAATTTCATATTTTTTATATTTTTTATAGCGCGTATTTAGCGAATGGAAAAGTGTAATTTTAGGTCTTATGTGGAATTTTTGATAGATTTTTGTCTCTCTCAACACTGATGATACTTTCTTGGTGGGTTAATTTGATGATGATTGGCTTATTGACTGTATCTTGTGGAGGGTCTTTGAATTTGTAAAATTAGGGGTTTTATGAATATGGTATGAGCTTGATGTTATCATTAGAAACTCAAACTTGGCTCTTCCTCTGATTATTTTCAGCTTTCTTTTGGAAGGACTTGTCAATGGCAGACTTACCTGGATATCTGCGGACTTGTTTGGATATGGGGAAGATAGCTTTCTTAGCAATCTTAGTATCCACAGGAATCGTGTTGCAGATTCTGGTATATTCCTAGTGATTCTTATACTGTGTTTTTATTGCTTCTTCTTTACACAGTTGTGTTTTAACCCTTTGTTTTGCTAATTTTGTTCCAGGCTTGTGCTCTGTTCAATAATTGGTGGCCAATGCTAAGTGGTGAGTTCTATTGCTCGACCTCCACTATCTCGTTATAACCCGGTCTGGCTTGATCTTTAACCGTTTTGACAATTAGTTAGACTTGGAAACTTCATTTTATATTGATGAACTAAGTACCCTATATGAGAACTTTCATATCTGTTTGGTAAATCAAGAAATATCAGTGAACTTGATCTTGCTTCTGGTTAATCAATATCTTCTTTTGCTTTCCAGTTATAATGTATGTGCTCCTCCCAATGCCTTTGCTCTTCTTTGCTGGATCAGACAGTTCCTCTCTATACAGCGACTCAGATAATAGGTGCGGGATCTATGCATTCGAAACAATTGATATTCCTGTTTTTCGAAGTCTTGACATATTCAAATACTTGCTGAACTTAACATGAACATATTGTTTGTATTCAGCTGGATCAACGCAGCCAAGTTTTTGACTGGTGCATCAGCAGTTGGAAGCATCGCAATACCTTCGATTCTAAAACACGCTGGACTCATCGGTTGGGGCGCATTAGCCCTTGATCTCTCATCATACGTTGTCTTCCTCGTCGCTATTCTTGGGTACATATGCATAGGAGATGGCAATGACAACTATTACAGCTACATTTAGAAGAAACACACACACAAGTTTTATCATCATGAGTTTCAAGCTCAAAGTCTCAGCCTTTTCGAGTGATACTTCGAAACGAAAACCGACAGAATCGTTCAGCTGATTGGAATTTCACAAGTTTTTTTTGTCTAAGTGTATGTAATGATTGAATCGTTGTAAGATGAATTTTTATGTGGTTTTGTTTCCTTTGTGTATAGAACAGACTTGTTACTATTTGGGAATATATAAAGTCTCCTTTTTTATGTAACGAGAAAAAATGCATTTTTAATAAAAAGCTAATCTTTTTGTTTGCTTGTAGGAGATTAGAGAAGCTGTGAAAATTATTTGAATGCGAGCTCTCTGTGTTAAGAAAGTTTGTAGCTTTCTCTGGAAACTATCTCTCACTTCTTCGATTTCCTGTCGTCGTTTCTATGGAACTGCGATATCGAATTACGGAAGCTATCGTAGAGGTTTCTCTAATGAAGAAGCTCTTATTCTTCGTCGTTTATCTGAGGGAGGTCTTGTACATGCACGCCACTTGCTCGATAAAATTCCCCAGAGAGGAAGTGTTAGCCGTGTTATTTACTGGACTTCGCTTCTTACGAAATTCACAAAAGCTGGATACTTGGATGAAGCGCGGGTTTTGTTTGAGGTTATGCCGGAGAGGAGTATCGTCACTTGCAATGCGATGTTGACGGGTTATGTTAAAGGTAGGAGAGTGAAAGAGGCTTGGACTTTGTTTAGGGAAATGCCCAAGAATGTGGTTTCGTGGACTGTGATGCTTACTGCGCTTTGTGATGATGGTAGGAGTGATGATGCGGTCGAGTTGTTTGATGAAATGCCTGAGAGAAACGTGGTTTCGTGGAACACTTTGGTTACGGGTTTGATTAGGAATGGGGATATGGAGAAGGCGAAACAGGTGTTTGATGCTATGCCTAGCCGAGATATCGTGTCCTGGAACGGTATGATTAAAGGGTGTATTGAGAATGATGGTATGGATGAAGCGAAAATGTTGTTTGAGAGTATGAGTGAGAAAAATGTAGTTACTTGGACGAATATAGTTTATGGTTATTGCCGGTATGGAGATGTTCATGAAGCGTATAGATTGTTCTGTGAAATGCCTGAGAGAAATGTTGTTTCTTGGACTGCTATGATCAGTGGGTTTGCTTGGAATGAGTTTTATAGAGAAGCATTGCTGCTTTTTCTTGAAATGAAGAAGGATGTTGTTGCAGTGTTACCAAATGGCGAGACTCTCATCTCTCTTGCTTATGCTTGTGGTGGTCTTGGTGTTGGATTTCGCCGTCTTGGCGAGCAATTGCATGGACAAGTGATATTTAATGGTTGGGAAAGTGTGGATCATGATGGAAGGTTAGTGAAAAGTCTTGTTCATATGTATGCATCATCTGGTTTGATTGCTTCAGCGCAATCTCTGCTGAATGAAACCTTTGATTTGCAGTCTTGTAACATTATTATCAATGGTTATCTTAAAAACGGAGATTTGGAGCGAGCTGAAACTCTGTTCAAGAGAGTCGAGAGCTTACACGATAAAGTATCGTGGACATCTATGATTCATGGATATGTAGACGCGGGTGATGTATCCAGGGCCTTTGATCTTTTTCAGAAACTTCACGACAAAGACGGGGTTACATGGACGGTTATGATCTCTGGTCTTGTCCGAAACGAGCTTTTTGCAGAAGCTGCCTCCCTACTGTCAGATATGGTGAGATGTGGTCTGAGACCGCTGAACTCGACTTACTCTGTTCTTCTTAGTTCTGCGGGAGCCATTTCGAACCTCGATCAAGGAAAGCATTTACATTGCATGATTGCAAAAACGAAGGCTTGCTATGATCCTGATCTTATCCTTCAAAACTCCCTTGTCTCTATGTACGCAAAATGCGGAGCCATAGACGATGCTTGTGAGATATTCTCAAAGATGGTCCAGAAAGATACAGTTTCATGGAACTCCATAATCATGGGGTTATCGCATCATGGTTTAGCGGATAAATCCTTAGATCTGTTCAAAGAGATGCTTGATTCAGGGATGAAACCAAACTCTGTAACATTTCTCGGAGTCCTCTCAGCTTGTAGCCACTCTGGACTCATCACCAGGGGCTTAGAACTATTCAAAGCGATGAAGGAAACCTATTCGATCCAGCCCGGAATCGAGCATTACATCTCGATGATAGACCTTATAGGCAGAGCCGGAAAACTAAAAGAAGCAGAGGAATTCATCTCAACCCTGCCTTTCACTCCAGACCATACAGTCTACGGCGCATTGCTAGGCTTATGCGGACTCAACTGGAGAGATAGAGATGCGGGATGCATAGCGGAACGAGCTGCAATGCGGTTGCTAGAGCTTGACCCAGTCAATGCACCGGGACATGTGGCGCTATGCAATGTGTATGCAGGACTAGGGAGGCATGAGATGGAGAAGGAGACGAGGAAAGAAATGGGAATAAAAGGAGTGAAAAAGACACCAGGATGTAGTTGGATTGTGGTAAATGGAAGAACTAACGTGTTTCTCTCTGGTGATAAGTCTGCTAGTGAAGCTTCTCAGATGATTTTGCCAAACTTTTGTGGTAATGAAATGCTTGAGGAGGAAGAAGAGAAACCATTGACTCTTTGCTAGTGTTGAGAGTTAAGCACATATGTTCGCTAGTTTGTGTAAACTAACAGAATCTTGGAACCACCGCTATAATAACTATATTATATTAATGAATTTGTATAATTTTGTCCTCCTTTTCCTAATAAGCTTTATATAATTTTTTTAATATGTATATATAGACATTGTTATTCCAAATTTAGGGCAGGGATTTACAAAAGAAAAAAAAAACAGAGTCGTGATGAAGAGTGTAAACGAAGAAAACAACCACAAGACCTCCTCACCGTCGTCTCCAAAACGCCTACACCGCCGTGAGATCTCAACCGGAGAAAAGTCCGTCTTTATCAATACCCCACTAGACCTAACGGTGGAGATACTCAAGAAACTTCCCGCAAAGTCTCTCTTGAGGTTTCAATGCGTGTCGAAGCAATGGTTATCAATTATCAGCAGCCGTAGAGACTTCATAGACTCGATCGTGACTCGTTCTTTGACTCAGCCGCCGCCTCGTGACATCAAACTCATCTTCCACCACCAAATCCTTTACCCGGGACCTCACTATTTCATCTTCTCGTCTTCATACCCTCAAAACACCGACAAAGAAGCACTAACGACCAAAGCCACATCGTATCACTATGTCCGTGGCTTGATTTGTTGTTGGTCGGACTGTCCTACTACGGTAGAGATATATAACCCTACAACGAGGCAGTACTATACAGTACCGGACACGAACCGGTACCAACTCATAGATAGATGTTTCTTTGGTTACGACCCTATAGAAGATCACTACAAAGTAATGGTATTACCAAAATACCATATGGAGGAGGTGCCTTGTCAAGTTTTCACAGTGGGAGATCCCAAGGAGAAGCCATGGAGATGCATCCAAGGCATTGGACTTCACTACCCTTGGTCACCTGCGGTTTGTGTCAATGGGGTTATCTATTACCGAGCAAGTAATGATTATCGCGGTTCTAAATTTTTCTTGGTGAGTTTTGATGTTAGTTACGAGAGGTTTAACCATGTCAAGACTCCGACAACACTGATGGATCACCGTTGCAGTTTGATAAACTATAAAGAGAAGTTAGGACTCATGTGTTGCGAGAAAGGTGTGGAGATTTGGGTTATGGAGGATGGTAAGAAGAAACAAGAATGGTCCAAGATTGTCTTTTATGAGATGGAGGGTTTAGAAGATTGGCGTGTTGCGGGTGTCACGCATGGTGGTGAGATTGTTTTTGTCACTGGGAGTTTAAATACTGTGGATACGTTATATGTTGTCTATTATGATCCAACGCGAAATAGTATGAGAGACGTTGAAGTCGAAGGTACGATGGTGGAGGATACAGAGAGTGAACGTAAGCATTATCTTCGTATATGGGCTGTTCCTAATTTTGTCGAGAATACATTGCGCTTGTAACTTCCTTTCACAAGGTACTAGGTTATATAACCCATAAGAGACAAGAGAGATTTCTTCAAAGCTACCTTCCAACATTAGTCTCTCTTAGAGATTAACATTAATTCTTGGAAGTTTTAATTCTTTTATTAATCAAAAAGATCTTTCTTTTACATAGAAAAATCACCAAAACACCAACCCTAAACCTACTGTCAAAAGTAAAAAAAAACATGTAGGAACACATACGATATATATTAACATGTGAGACTGAAAACATGTACCAAAATCTTTAGTTGCAAAATCTAAATATAACCATTAATTTTTTTATTTTTGTCATTCACTCAACCAAATGGAACCAAATCAAAGTACAATGTTACAAAGGATTCAAAGATCCCAATGTATAAAAAATGAGAAGAAAGAACATTCTCCATTGCATTGGAGAACTTTGGTTTCCATAACAACCAAACAATAACTTAAGGCAGATCCAAGGTCGAGATAAAAAAGGACAAACAAACATAATAAGAACTACAGAAAAAATAAATAAAAGAAAACAAAAAAGCTCAACCAAACAAGAGACCGAACATAAGGAAATTTAACTTGCAATTTTGCTTCTTGTGTACGCAAGATACCAAAGAACAAAACTGCTTTCTGGTTATGCATCCTCACTTTTACCTCCAGGAATCAAGACCAAACTAGGAAAATAGGTACAATGCCGTGGCCAACACTCAACCATAGAATCCAATTTAGTTTTACTGATCAACCTGTTTTCCCCCACAACATAGATCCAAGCCTGACCAGTTTCATCGCAAGAACAAATGACGAGCCTTTTACCGTCGATGAAGTAACTTGGCTGAGACTGAAGGTAGGGTTCGGTCTTTACTAAATCTGGAATGGTATGCACTGACACCTCCATGAAACTAGTCCATTTCACATCCATACCATACCTATCATCAACCTTGTTCTTGGTCACCCAAACCTCAATCTTCTTTGTTACATAGCACTGCTTAAACAACGATAACCGATCTTCCCTAAAAACCCCAAGGACAAGAGCATCGCGAAGATGGTTCTTTCCACATGGTAGATCACAAAATTTCGAGAAATTTTCACTCGAAAAAGTGAAGTTAATTACGATGAACGACAAGGGATAAGTGACATGAGTCTCGTCATAGAAAGCAACCCAATACAAAGTTCCATTCAAAGATACAACACTTGTAAAGTTATATCTAACCATTTCTTCCCGGGGAATAGGACTACTACTAGGACTAGGCAATAGTGTTGCATATGTTGTTTCTTCGAAGAAGAAGCCCTTACGGGAAATCGAAAGAGTCTTGTAAACAATTTCGTCATCAACTCTCCTATTATTATCATAACATATGGCAAGAAACTTTAACCTAGGGTTGTTAAGCTCAGGGTGGATGTATCTAATTTGTCTTAACCAAGGGTTCCAAACCACGGCTCTTTTGTCCTTTGCACAAAGCAAGAATCCATTTGTAGCAATCAAGCTTTGAGGTACTTTTGATTTCAAATCGGGAGTATTTAAGGTTAACTCACGAACCTCTACCTTGGGATTGACGCTTACTGAATAAATCTTTCCACTACTTAGTAAAACGAAACGAAACGTCATCTTGTGGTTGTTGATGAACGTTTTGTCGTTGAAGAGAGCTTTCCATTGTTTGCAAACAGTTTTGAATCGGAGAAGACAAGTAGGAGGGACACGAGATAGGATCTCTCCCACCAAATCCCATGGAAGCTTTTCCTTATTTTCCATTTTGATTATAAGTTTTCAAGTCACAATGTTTCCTTATTTATAAAGTTTTCTCAATCCTGATTTTACTCTTTTGTGTTTTTTTTTGTTTTACATAGATTCTGGATTTTGTTGGGTCAGAATCTGGATTTTATAATGATAATTTGTTAATATATTTATGAGATCCATATTATCTTCTTCCTTTAGTACTTTTTTAAAATTTATTTTTGGCATATGATTATTATCTTCATATAATATGAAAAAGGTTTTTTCTAAGTTTGTCTTACGTTATGACATCTGGCACTCTGTGTTTACACATGTCGACATCTTCATTAATTTTTTTTAGTTAGATATTTTTAATTTTTTATTTGATTCTATATATTTATTAGCATCAATTAATTTTGAACTCATACATATAGATTTTGAAATAATATGGTTTATCTATATATCCAAATTTTCCACCATAACAATAATTTTTAAAATCTAATGTGAGTTTTGAAATCCAACAATAAATCATTAAACGAATGATACATTATTTTAATCCGTATTTAGAAATCATTGAATGAATAATACATCATTCAAAAAACAATCAAAGATTCAATGCTTTGGATTTCTATAAATCAATTATAATCCAGTTGTTATATATTACTCAGGGTCATAAACTTAGAAAATAACATATATAATGGTAATGGTTCCTTTTGTTTGAAATTTTTGGACTTCACTCATGGTGGTGAGATCGTTCTTGTCAATGAGAGGTTAAAAACTTATGATACATTCTATGCTTTCTATTATTATTATTATCCAAAGCGAAATAGTGTCAGAGACGTTGATACATTAACTTGTGTTGAACAAAACATATAGGTTAGGTTATATAAATGGTAATATAACCAAAGCAGAACATATCGAACTTTTTGACAACAATGAAAGTACTTGTGTGTATCATACGTTTTTAATTTATATTTTATACATACGTGAACTATCAGAATTGAAGATGGTTCATGTTCGCTCAATATACCTTTTGATTGTATTCATCATGATGAGACATTGAGACATGCTGATAAAATGTACAAAACTCTTGTGTTGCAAGATCTAAACATAACCATTTTAAAACTATCGCAAGAAGCTTTAGTAATCCACCAACAAGTGAAAACCTAATAAATTTTCCGAAAAGAATATTAAAATATTAATTCAATCTAGCTAGTATGGTAAGTGCAAAACAAAAAGAAAACGCAAAACAAAACCTTAGCTTCCGTATCAACCAAACAATAATAACTAAAGGCAGATCTAAAGGCTTAGGATCACTTCCTTGTTAACCAAAAAACACAAAGGATAAAAAAACAAAAAAACAACAAAAGAATCCAAACAAGAGACTTATCTTTTACCTCATCCATGTAAGGAAGTTTAATTCGTGATTCTGCTGCTTCTCTTTTACCTCCAGGAATCTGGACCAAACTGGGAAAATAAGTGCAATGAAATGGCCAAGGATCAACCACAGAATCCAATTGTACTTTACTAATCAACTTGTTTTCCCCGACAACATAAATCCAAGCCCGACCAGTTTCATCACAAGAACAAATGACAAGCCTTTTGTCGTCGTCGAGGAAGTAACTTGGCTGAGCGTAGGACTTGATCTCTACTAAATCCGGCATGTTTGGGATTGACACCTCCATGAAACTAGTCCATTTCACATCCCTACCATACTGATCATCAATCTTGTTCGTTGTCACCCAAACCTCAACCTTCTTTGTTACATAGCACTGCTTCAACAACGAAAACTGATCTTCCCTAAAAACCCTAAGGACAAGAGCATCGCGAAGATGGTTCTTTCCACATGGTAGATCACAAAATGGCGAGAATTCTTCGCTCGAAAAATTGAATTTAACTAAGATGAACAACAAGCGATAAGTGAGATGAGTCTCGGCATAATTAGCAAGCAAATACAAAGTTCCATTCAACGATACAACTCCAGAAAAGTGATACATAACCCTAATAAATCCCCGTGTGGTACTACTACTAGTAGTACTAGTTGTGTATTTTGCTTTTTCCTGCTCTTCGTCTTTCCACGCATCAGAGGCAAACTCATGGATTTTCCACGTAGAGTCAGAGTCCATGTTGTAAACTAAAAGGGTCTTGTAAACAATTTCATCAACTCTCCTGTTATTATCATAACCTATGCCAAGAAAATTTAAATGAAGAGGTGTGTTAACCTCGGGCTCGATGCATCTAGTCTGACTTAACCAAGGGTTCCAAACCACGGCTCCTTTATCCATGCCACAAAGCAAGAACCCACTGGAATCAACCAACCTTACAAGTATCTGAGATTTTAAACGACCAGGAGTATCTATGGTTAACACACTCACCTCTAACTTGGGACTAACGCTAACCGAATAAATCTTGGATCTAGTAGTTAAAACGAACTGAAACGTCTTCTTGTGGTTTTTGATGAACGTCTTGTCGTTGAAGAGAGTGTTCCATCGTTTGCAAACTGCTTTGAGTCGGACAAGAGAAGTAGGAGGAACACGAGTTAGGATCTCTTCTACTAAAACCCATGGAAGCTTCTCCTTATTCGCCATTTAGGATCTTTTGTTTTCTAGTCACTGCGTTTTCAGATTGAATATTTTGACTTATATCATTTAGGGTTTCAACCGATTGTTCTTGACAAATATAAATCCAAACATCAAGATTTATCTGAATCTTTTTCTAATTTTTTTTAAATTTTTATTAGTACATATATTCTCTCTAACTTTCTTAAAAATCTATATACAATATCTCTATATTAGTAAAAGAGAAGTACAAAATAGAATACAGGTCGGGTCAAAATAAAAAAGTTAACCCGATTTCAACAATTGGATACTTCAAAAGTGGATATTAAATTGGGTTTGGATACATACATCGGATACTTTCTATATCTAATTTTAGGATTATATTATTTCCATAACTAATTAGAGGATTTCCAAATATTTCTCTAACTAATTTAATATAATCTATTAAAATAATTATTATTCTTCTTTCACTTTTATTTGATCTTATTTTTAATTTATGATATTATACTATATAATATAAATATTTAATAATAATTTAACTTTTTTTGCATATACTGCAATTTGAATTTTTTGAAACGGATATATAATACTCAACTACACTCGGTTAAATATTTTGGACAATGGTTTAAAATCATTATAAGTATGACCAATATTAAAACCATTGTTACATGAGCATATTTAAATTTTTTAAAAGTTTCAAAATATTATGATTAAGAGGTTCAAATATATATAAACTTTAGAATTTATAATATGGAATTTTTTTTAAGAAATAAATGTAATTTTGGAGACATAATTTTAATTGATAAAATATATTATATATCAAACTATTTAAAATTTATATTGTTCACGGGTAGTTTGTTAAATCACAATTATAATGATAAAGCGAATTATGAATATTTTTTTTACAAAATGAATTCTTTTACGGGTTGGTCCTTCAAAAAAATTATTGTAAATATGTAATTTTACATATATTCCTACTTCTACTACAAAATGGTCAAAATGAATATTTTATCGACAAATATTATTTCGTGCTGTTAAATTTTCACCGTGTTTTTAATTGTATCAAAACTCAATATATAATTATTTATTCACTTTTTCCTTTATTATTTTATTTAAAATGTAACATATTCTAATCCGTTAAAGGTTATATATATATATGTAAATATTTCCCCCGCGCTGTAGCGCGGGTCCGAACCTAGTCTATATTAACATTTTTGAAGTACCTTTTGTGTTCTACCCTTTTATTTTGTAATATTTACATAGTTAAACCATTGCTATTTAATTAAATAACAAAAGTTTTGAGTAAATTGTGTAAATAAATCATAATTAAATTACAAAATTAGAAATCAGTATTTATTACATTTAACAAAATTTCCTAAAATATCTCCCTAATAAACTGAAAATTTCTTAAATATCTTTAAATAATCTTATTTATTTTTAAAATTTATATTCTTACATATGTATCATAATAATACAAATATTTTTCCGCATATGTTGCAATATGAACTTTTTGAAAACGGACGTATATTAATCGGTACATAAAATGTATGTATTAAAGTATTATTGGTAATTGTGTTGCAGGGGTCATGTGATTGAACAAGTTATAAATTACATAATTATGATTATAAATGTTTTTACGGGTTATCTGCTATAGTATAACTCACAAAATATTTTAATATGAAACTATACAATTTAAACGAAAAATGTTATCTCAACATCATTTCATTATATTAAATATTATACTTATTTAAATAAGTTGATCAAATTATGATTATATAAAATATAAATTGTCATACAATATTTTACGGTTTAAATTATAAAATTAAGAATCAAATATAGTAGTACACTCTTATATACCAAACAAAATTAATAAAAAAGAAATACATATTAAAATATCGTCCCGCGGTGTACCGCGGGTTAAAATCTAGTGTAACATTATACGGCTATACCCAAATTGAGAAAAATAGGTTTAGCCTCCTTTTTTTTTTCTTGAACCGATATATACCATTAGTTCGATTTGGTTTGATTTAGCTTGGATTTGTGGGAGTTCATTTTTCGTAATTTTAATACCAAGTTGGACTGTGGTTTATATATGTGATTGTGTGTTCACTCTGGTAATAAGTAAGCTCGTGAATTTTCTCAGGTGGTTTTGCCAATCTTTTGTGGATATAATAAGCCTTTACTTTAGATGACATTTAGCTCAAATTAAACCAAAGCAATCCGGTCCAATTCTTAGGGGTTGGGTCGAGATGTCACAAAAGAAGTGAAGAAGGCACCAATGTGTACTTGGATTGTGGTTAATATGGGAGGTCGTGTGTACGTGTTCACTCTGGTAATAAGTAAGCTTGTGATTTTGCTCAGTTGATTTTGCCATTCTTTTGTGGTAGTGAAATTAGGAATAAGAGAAACAAACCGTTGTTGAGTCGATGTCACATGCTGAGAACTAAAGACTGAAGTAAAGCATATGTTCGCTTTAGTTTGTCTAGTTGTATTTGTTTACTATTTCTTTTTTTAGCACTTAAATACAAAATGTAATGTTTTCTTTGTCTTTTAACTATGGAAAAATGCCGACAAAAATATAAGTTTAAATTGCGTTTCTTTTTCTGGTTAAAGAAAAGAATTGGAGATTTTTTATATTCTCTTAAAACTATAGCTGCAAATGGTTATCTTTTAAACAAATGAGATGAAAAATAATATTATAAAAACTATTAGAATGAGTAGTTTTTTGTTCATCTAGTGTAGAGTAAACAAAAATTTTACCTTCTTTATTTATCTAATATGAGATGAAAAAAATGAAAAATAATTTTTTCTATTTTTAACTCAAAAAATAGCAAAATTTTAGATGAACCTATGTGAAAACATTCTCCTCTTTCATCCCACTTTTAATGGTCATCCACTATTAAATCCAAAACTTTTTAAATATTTTATATTTAATTAGTGAATGTTTATCGAAATTGAAAGAAAAAAAAAAAATAATCCATATTAAAACTCTCATATCAGAAAACCTCATATAAATATAGCATATATATACATACGTACATCAAGTAAATGATTGATGTTGATTACAGAATATTTTACTGACCAATGTCCAATTTAGCTTACCACAAAATCACAAATTCATTGGTTAAAAACAATATCAGCTATCTTTAGACCGACCGTATAATTCTAAGCATACCCGTAACAAATTTGATTAATTTCATTATAATTTTTACTTCCCATAATTTCATTAAAAAAAAACTTTACGTTATTTTTGAACAAAAAAAAAAACTTAATGTTATATACAGACAAGGAAACAAATCAACTTTGGTATATGCGAATGTAGCTGAGAAAAATATCAGAGACAGAACATAAACTTATGCTTTGCTGCTTCTCTCTGAGTCAGAGGGTTCAGTGTAACTGTCCTACCAAACCAAAGTAACCAATAAGAACAAGTCGAAACCCTCTGTCTCTCTCTCTCTCTTTCTCCGCCCCTCCTTCTCTCTCTCTCTCTCTCTTTCTCTCTCCTCTGTTCATCCTCAGGTGCCTCTCTGCACATGGCGGCTATAGGTCAAATCTCCACCGGAATGTCCGTAGATCGTTCCCTCTCTTCCTCCAGAAGTATTGGACTCACTCCATCACCGTTCCGGCTCAGCCCCGGGAGGTCTAGCTTCTCTCTCCGGCAATGCTCTCTCTCCATCAGATCGATTAAAATCAATGAAGACAGCCAAAGAGCTAAAGCTTATGCTGAGAACGGCGCTTTTGATGTGGTTAGTGATTTCGTTTTTTTTTTTGTTCTGTTCTTCCCCTAATTGCTAAATTTGTTTTCTTGTTTCTCACGTTCTGTTTGATTCCTTTATATCAAATGCTTTCGAATGATATAAGATTAGTTTCAAATCTGATTTTGTTACTGGACTCTTAGATTTTGAATGTTGTTTGTTTGTAGGGAGTATTGGATTCTGCATATAAATTGGCTGATTCTAGAACAAGTAACAATGATTCGAGGAGGAAGACTAAGATAGTGTGTACTATTGGACCGTCATCGAGTTCTAGGGAGATGATATGGAAGCTAGCTGAAGCTGGAATGAACGTGGCTCGTTTGAATATGTCACATGGAGATCATGCTTCTCATCAGAAAACTATTGATTTAGTTAAGGAATACAATTCTCTGTTTGTTGACAAAGCTATTGCGATTATGTTGGATACAAAGGTATGATCTTTTTTTGGTTTGTTGTGATGAGAATGTTATGAAAGTTTGTGTTTTTATTTGTATGGCTATGTGTTTTCTTCAAGGGTCCTGAGGTAAGAAGTGGAGATGTACCTCAGCCGATATTTCTTGAAGAGGGTCAAGAGTTTAATTTTACTATCAAGAGAGGTGTTTCGCTTAAAGACACTGTTAGCGTAAATTATGACGATTTTGTTAATGATGTTGAAGTTGGGGACATACTTTTGGTTGATGGTAAGAGTACTTGTGGTATCTTTGTGGTTTTTGGAGTCTTTGTTTTAGTTCATTTGTGACAAGAAGGTTGCTTCTTGTGTCTCTTTATTACTAGGTGGAATGATGTCGCTAGGCGTTACATCAAAGACGAGTGATTTGGTGAAGTGTGTTGTAATTGATGGTGGAGAGCTTCAATCTAGACGTCACTTGAATGTTCGAGGAAAGAGCGCGACTCTTCCTTCCATTACAGGTTTTGATACAAGCTAATGTTTTCCCAATACCTTCCATCAAGGAGCTTTTTTGAAAACTCAATACTTACTATGGATTTAACTCCACTGCAGACAAAGATTGGGAAGACATCAAATTTGGAGTGGATAACCAAGTCGATTTCTATGCTGTCTCCTTTGTTAAAGATGCTAAAGTTGTCCATGAGTTGAAGAACTATCTCAAAAGTAAGTCTGTCTCCTTTTCTTGAATCTCCTATCAGCTTTGGTGAAAATTTCTGTGAAAGTAATACATACAAATGTTTCGATAGCCTGCAGTGCCGACATATCGGTGATTGTGAAAATCGAAAGTGCGGACTCTATAAAGAATCTTCCTTCTATCATATCTGCTT